AAAAGCAGTCTAAAAGCAGCTCAAAAGCTCCTCAAAAGCAGCTTAAAGGCCGCTAAAAAAGCCGCCTAAAAGCAGCTCAAACGCCGCTCAAAGGGAGCTCAGAAGTAGCTCAAAAGCAGCTAAAAAGCTGTCTAAAAGCAGCTCAGAAGCTGCTCAGAAGGAGCTCAAACAGCCGGTCAAAAGTACCGTTTAGAAGCAGCTCAAAGGCCGCTTAAAACCAGATCAAAAGCAACTCAAAGTAGCTCAAAAGCTGCTTTAAAAGTAGCTCAAAAGCAGTTTTAAAACAGCTTAAAAACAGCCCGTTCCAATACTTATTAATTATGTTCCAAACCGTCCAAAATACTCGTTAGGTTGGACACTAGCTATCCGAAAAAAGAGAATTAATCCGGAGAGTTTACTAAATCAGCAAACAATCGTTAGCGCGATTGTATAGTGTTACTTAAGATTATTTCACTGCTTCTGCTAATGTTGCTTATTGTTACAGTTTGATTTAAGATTAACACATTTGAACGTTCCATTTTATGCCGTAACTTGTATTGAACGCTCAGGCACATAACATTCAACATCGCATTTGTTTGTCCCTCAAGTGAACAATGAACAGCAACTTAGGAATTGCTTAAAACTAACAGTAACAATCCTGTTTGACGGCTGACAGTTCAAGTTTAGAGTCAACAGGAATTTACCTTTTCTTTGTGAGTATATTCTTAAGGTACACTTAATTTTTGCGAAAGACAAAAGGCTTTTAACACCTTTGCAAATCAATGAAACTGTTTAAGTTACCTGGAATTCATGAAGCTGATGGTTTATACTTTCCAAGTCCTCTTCTGCTTGGCTTGTGAATCTAGATGAAACTGTGTTTACACACTTTCCGTTTTGAAGAAGATAAGTAGAGAGTGGAGTCGAGAGAAACTGAATGGGAGAGATGCTTTTAAATTATACTTCGCCAATCTTGTTCCTGATTGGTTATCCTGTGCGTGCTAATTAGTGAACGCCAAAAAGAAAAAAAAACGTGCATTATGGTTCCAGGCCACGTCCACTTTACGCCGAAGTAGTTTGAACACGCAGCTTTTTTTTTCTACGGTGAGGCCGATCGTCCCCACAAATCTGTCACGAGAGCGGAACTTTTCGAAAGCATCGTTCAAACCGGAGGAATTTGAAAACTCCCGCTTCGCGTTCTTGTATGGACGGAAAACATTTTGAAAACGGAGCTTAACGAAAACGATAGCGTCACGATAATCATGTGATTTCCCTGACCGAGTTTTCCTCAAACACAAATCCAAAAATCACCGGTGATTGTTGTGTTTTCAAATTTCTCCGGCGCAGTGTGGACGGGGCCTCAGGTAACGCTCGTGGCAAATTTCGCGTTTCACGCGCTATGTACAGCTCAAAGTTGGAAAAAATCTTGCTGAATTATTCTTTTCCTCATCCAGCGATTGAAATGTAACGACTGGCAAAGGTTGACATTCTCCTCCGCAGTGCTACTCGTGCAGTAGCGAATCCACCAGACCTTGCGCTAAGTGGGGGACGGGGAAGAGGGGGGGGATGGTGATATTTTTTGCTTGACTCTGCGATTTTTTTTTACCCAAAAGGGCCCCTTCCCTAAATCAACCACTGTCGCTATGAACTGTCGTTTCACCAACCACATGACCAAAAGCGACGAAGGATCTGGGAACGAGGATGAGCTCTTCATAGAATAATCACCACATGCAGCGGTCACAAGGTAGCAATTTATTCTTTCTCCAAAACAAATCTGAATTTTACTCGTGTCTGAAAGAATCATCACATATTTGCTTTATTTACAATAAGAACATTATTTGAAACTATGAAGTGTGTGTGTGCTTCAAAAGCAATGTAGCCATAAATAAGTCATTTTACAATAACATCATTATTATAAATAAATTGTACTGTGTACAGGATAACATTCTTCTATCGACGCTTTTAATATATTATTGAGTAATTTCTCCTATCAAAGATAATAATAATGATAATAATAATAACAACAGTAGTTAAAAAATTAATATTTGTCACGGCTCTTTGTGTGAATTTGGTCTAAAAGTGGAATAACGGTTTATAAAAGGAACTCTAAACTTCAAAACGCCTGCTACACTGTTCCATACTAGCTTGCATTAAAATCTGCTAAAAGTGATGATTTACAATTTTATAAACTACTATATCAGAAAGGCAATATTAAAACAAAATCAATTTTGTTAAGTAGCAAACAAGGACCAATATTCCCCTTGTCTGATGTCGTCAAGTGTAATAGGTACACGAGTCGTTCAATGCTTTGCTAGGAACATATCCAGTCTGACTGCGGAGAACATTCACGAGTCCTTACATCAAGTAGCAAGTAGCATTACATCTTGCCACTGTTCCAAAACATAACGAACACATTTGCAATAAACATTAGAGCAGTTTTAGATTGACTGTAAAAATTAAGTTCGTTTTTGTTGGGTTTCACTTTTTCTGAATCAACCAATCATAGCAAGGATGCTTTTTTCTCAACCAATCCGAAGAGAAACCAAAACCCAATTGTGATGTGAACCGGTGCGTTTTCCCGCGCTTGATAGCCGCGGCACGTTCATTCTTCGAGTTGTGATTGGCTCGTTGCGTTATCATTGTTTGCTGTGATTGGCCACGTGTGATTGCTTTGGATTTGGGTCTTTAAAACAGTCATCAAAAACCACTCCAAGGTTTAACATTACAAGTATTTTAAACCAAGTATAACCTCATGAGCAGTTACAACGTAAAGGAAAAATATCTCAAATGTTCAAATCTATTAGCAGTAGATGGGTATATGTTTGAACAAGCGTCAAGCTCTGTCTAAGATTAAAAACTTTTTAAGGTCAACCTCTGCATCACAACCCTTTTAAAAAAGAAAACCAAAAAAAAAAACTGCTACAGTATCTCAAGCGAGCTTCATTTCCTGTATAATATCTAATAATTCATCGCTTTTTCTACACAAGATATACTATATTCGTTGCGTTTAGTTAATCTGAAACGTCCATAATTATGAAATAAATAAGTAAATAAATAAACAAGTAAAGAAAAGCTTGCAAAATTTGTTATCAAAAACAAACAAATCTGCGGCGTGGCTCTTGCGCAGGCGGCAAAGCAGCTACACAGGAATTTCCATCTGGAGTTCATTATTCTCCTCCCAATAATTCAACTTAGCTTTAGTAAAGTGCGTTTATTCCCTCCAATTCTTGCTTGAAGTCTGTTTCATGGAGAACGCGGCACGAAGAGGTTTACAAAACTTGGCAATTAAATGGTGTGTTGCCAAAGAGGACACCACTACTTCTCGTCTTTGAAGGAAGGCTGAAGGAATATACGTTGCAAATTAATGAAGGAGCCCTTCCAACATTGTTTCTTTGTATTCCCTTTCGTTGAAGTCATACGGCAAGTTAAAATTCGTAAACCTCAAAAGGAATCTCGTCAAGTGCCGAAAAGACCATCTATGACTGTCCTCGCCACGTGACCAGCACGAATCGCCCGCATGCGAGTGGTCACAAAAATTTATTGAGTGTGAATGTATTTTTTTTTAGCACGTGGTTGGCACGTGAATATAAATGCTAGCACCAGTCATCTTCATCGCCCATTTCCTCTAGACCGTAAATTGCATAAGGGCTCTGTCCACTTCGTATCGCCATAGCAATATGCTGGTTCATATTCGGATGATAGCCGTTCTCCAGAACACTGTCACCACGGTTCTCAGGCAGAGCCGGTGCTTTCCCGGTCAAAGAGAGTTGAGAGCCAGTGCGTGAACCAGGAGTCTGAGGTAGCTGTCGCCGATGAGGACCGACTAGAGCCGTGGTCACCCCAGGACCTCGTCCTTCGTTAAGGGAGGTGGTAGAGCGGTGAGCAACAGGTGTGTTTTGACGGTAGCGGGATCGGGACGGACTATCCATTTGCTACATTGAAAAAGTTAAAATATGAACAGAAAGAAAGAGCTCTTCCCTTCGGAAAAAATATTCTCGTGAATTAAGAGATTTATTGTATGACTGAGAAAATTACTTCATTGTGATTGGCTGAGAGTAGGCCAATTAATCGTTAATTATTAATTTGCACTACATTGCAAATTTCGCGTTTTCATTATTTTCTCAGTCATATAATAAATGACTAATCCAGTATGAAAGCTCGAGCAATTGAGTATTTACACTACTAGTATATAAAGGCTCGTGAAATTTTGAGAGAATTTTCAAATATCACTAGTAGCGTAAATCCCTAATTGCACTGGCATTCATACGATTACCTATGGAAATGATAAGCACTTAATGACTGGCCCCAAGGGAAACAGTTAGTTTTGTTTCCCCGAGACCCTCAATGGAACATTGAGATATAACAAATGGGAGGTATAACAAATTTGTTTGTTTATACCTCCCAACTCAAACACGTTTTCCGATTGGAGGAGAACGTGTCACGTGCCGTTGGTCAAAACTCACTAACTCCCTGGGGAAACAACAATTTAAACTTTCTACTCGCACGTGATCAGGTCGTGCTCCTTGAAACTGCGGCAAATTTCTGTGCCAGTCGGCGTTAAGCAAACGATTTTTCGCGGTTTTTGTTTTCAATTTTTGTATAACAAAGCACTTAATGACTGGCTCCGCAGGAAATAATGAGCTTTGTTTCCCCTCGACCTTCGCCTCTGGGGACATTGAGGACATTGAGGGTCTCGGTGAAACAAAACTCACTGCTTCCCTTGGGGTCAGTTATTAAGTGCTTGATATTCCCACAGGAAACTTGGTGCTGCAATTACGTACGTATATACCAAGCATGAAGAGCAATAACAACAACAACAACAACAACAACAACAACAACAACACAAGAGCAGCAGCAGCGGCGGCAGCAGCAAGAAGAGCGGAACACAAGTACGCCAGCCTGTCGGCACCAAGATACGTCATAAAGCTTAAAACGCAGGCGCAGGCGATTATTGCGTGACGGTATAAGAGATTGTATAACGAACCAAAAAACCCTCAAATGGGGGCAAATTGGGATGTAAGGATGACTAAAAGCGTACGAAAAAAATACATAAAAACCAGGGTCCGTAAAAATCTAAAGCGAAGATTAGCAGGGCGAACTGTCGTTTTCCAGAGAGCTTCCTTTTTATAAGTGAATATATGAAAGATCATATATTTGAACTGCGGAGAAAGATATGAAGACATGATCGAGTGTGACCAGCTCCCAGTTGGCTTGAAAGCTCAGTTGCCAGGACACTCCACCGGTATCGCAGAGGTCATGGGTTCGAATCCCGTTCAGGCCTGAATTTTTTTTTCAGGCTTTAATTTCACAACTACTTAAGTTGTGTAAATAACTGCGATGATTAATCATATCTTCATAGCTTCCTTTTTATTGCCCATGAGCTTCCCGCTGTCAAACATTCTAGTGTGTTTTTAAATGCTGTACGTACCTGGTGGTTAGGGTGATACAGAGCTTGAGCTGAGCCAGAGTGATAAGGACCATCAGCTAAACTAATAGCAACGTCTTGCATCGGAACACCCTACCACACACAAGTTAACACATCAAAAACAAATTCTCCATACCTTCACCCATACATTTCTTGTGGCAGAGGTCTGGAGAATCAGACCACTTCCCTCGCTGTTTCTTAATTGTTAGAACGAACACGATTGCTTGTTTAATGTTACCCTACTCACTGTTTGGGCTGAATGCGTTTGCAAACAAACAGCCCCTAAGATTAAAGCTTTAATGTACATGCACCAAAACCTAAACTTCTCATATGCCTTTTCTCACGCAGATAAACAAACTGCATTTTACCGTTAAGCCTGGTTTCAAAACACTATCGACGCAAGCTCAAGCGCAAGCACAGCAATTCGTATTTCACCGTGAAAGCGGCCTTGACACAGGCATGAGCACAAGCGCAAACACAAGGATCAAAATTTTTCCTTTTCTTTCTTGTACTTGCGCTTATGCTTGCGTTTGCGCTGCAACAAGTGAAAACGAAATACCGCTCAGGCATAACACAAGCACAAGGATCTTTACCACACATGGTTATGTTTGGAAAATGAAAACACTGAATCCAGATTACCTCGCGCCTAAACAGTTTGGAAGGTTCGGATGATTTCGCTTCTGCCTGTGTTTACCTCGAATTTCGTTTTCACTTGATTGCTTGCGTTCGTGCTTGCGCTTGTACTTGTGTCGCTAGTGAAATCCAGGCCTTAAGTCCAATTCTCTACAATTTTTTGTACATATTTTCTGAGATCAGATGGATCAGGGATTTGAAAGATAAATTTAACAACTTTTTCTTCACATTCGGCAAATGACAAATTGAACTTTTACAAACCACAGCTAAAAAGACAACGAAAACAAATAGAAGCCATCTTTCATAAGCGCAGCGGGTTGGACATGACATCGCAGGTTCATTCAGATTGAGGCATAATTGATTTAAAAGGGGAGTGGGGCGGGGCGGGGCGGGGTAGGTGAGCGGTCACAGAAAAACAATAAGACACGCTCAATGACGAAGAAATGAGAGGCTCATGATGTCAGTAGATAAAAAAAAAAACCAACACGTGTGAAAAGAGAAAAAAGGATTAAGCTAAGTAATTATGAAACAAAATATTAAAACTTTGAACAAACAAGATGACAAGGAATAAAGCGACTTATTTTATAGTGTCAAGGGGATTAATGAGCTACCTAATCAATTCTTTAGTAATTAATTTGTTTCCCATGCATCCGTTTTCAGAGAACTACAATCCGCACTGCTGTTGCACAGCTTAAGTCGCGTTAGGTGACAAAATGGTGTGACCAATCTTTGGTCACGCCACTTCTACAGGAGAAGCGTTAAATAATTTAATACTTAAACATGCTGCTCACTAAAACTGGTTCTCTGACGGAAAACGTTTGCAAGGGATATGTCAGTTTATGTTATATTAGCTTGTACCATTTTATAATTGAAAAGTTAAAGTTAAATAATTCTGCTTTTTAGTTGTTAAATTGGGCAAGGTTATTCAGTTTAACAAAGTTAAAAAGCTTAACACATTATTTATAGTAAAGAGATCAAAACAAGATGGTCACGTGACTGATTAACATTCAAAGGTTCGTAGTAACAGAGATATAGGTGAGCAAACGAGATAAGACAGCGCATGCGTGAGAATGTCAATACTTCTGTACCTCGCCCAGTTCAGGGTCGTTATCTCGTCGGAATTTCTGGAACGCAGGTCCTCCGACAAATCGACTCAGAACAGTTCCCTAAGAAATCAACGCCAGTCGATAGTGAGGAAGAGGAAAAAATAGAAAAATAGAGAAAAGAAGGAGTAGTGGAGTGAGAAATGAGATGATATAGAGAATTGCAAAAGGTCAACTTCTGAAGTTTGCATAACAATAATAAGTTTATTTTTAACTTGTCTGAAAAGCGCTTGGCTAGCATGTTTGATCATTGTTCATTTCTGTCTACTCGATTTTGATCAGTATACGTAATGAAATCAAAGTGCGCTATCAATGTTATCTGCACGAGAAAAGTTAAGTGAAATAGTTTTGAATACTCAGAGGTTCTGGAAAACTGGATTGTCACAAGATCGGACCTCAACTGTGAATCCAATCAAATTCGTTAGGATCACAAGCAAATTCAGTGAAAACCGATGGCTATTCACGTTGAAACTGACATATCAACGTGGTGTCCTTAAAGCTCCTACGCAACAGACAAAGATGGAACACAGGCACGGTAGAGAAGTTGAAGTGAGACCCACCTGATCTGAATCCTGCTCCAAGAAAAAGAGAAAGAAAGGAAAGAGGTGAGGATAAGTAGTTCAAAAATCTTCAACTGTTAGTATCATTAGCAGTTTCCGTTGATTATAGCAAATTTTAACTTATTTAGTGACATGTTTCCAGGCCCCTTCTGCACATCCGTTCTTACTGGCACGAGATCAGTAAAGGGCCTGGAAACGAGATTGATTTGTTTACACAATTTTAATGAGTTTTATTTTACAAAAATGATAAGCCAAGAAATATGGTGTTTTTACGTTTAGGTTTAACGTTGTTTTAAATAAAGTTTATAAAAGTCTTTTCGACTGTGTTATGGTTAACTAGAGTCCTCGTTCCCCTTTGCCAGCGGTCGATGCCAGTCAAGGGAAATAGGGAGACGTCATTTATTAGTTAATTTGCTAAAATACTTTTTCACAATTGTCGCTGTTTTATTTTAGTTTTTATCGTTTATGTTAAAGATTAAGAATATCTAGGTGAAGTTTGTTTTAGCAATTAGGGAACTGTATTTTATCCATAGGCAAGTAAGATAAAAATCAAAACTTTTGAGGCCAACTGGCAAAATAAAAACAACAGAGTAAGAAGAAACACAGTGAGACTAAACTACAGCTTACGTAAATTCGACAAGAAGGGAATTCAGTGGAACAACGAGATATGTTTGCCTGGCAGTTTCTATTGAGATAACAGGAACCCCTCCCTCAGAAAGACAAAAAAATAAAAAATAAAAAAAAATATATCAGACCACTTTGGTTGCCACCTATTTCTTGAAGTGTAAAACAAAACCTATGTTCCTATTGAGTCATGCAACGAAAAACTGACTGCGATCAAACTTTGAATGTAGCAAAGACATGTTCATGAAGTCATCAAATAAACACTTTTTCTGCTTCATACTGGAACATAACTCGAGAAACTAAAACAACATAGGCATGACAACAAGTCAAGTAATAATTTTTCGAGCAGGTGACGATTCCTTAGGGTATCTTCACGCTTTCCTCTGAGCAACGATCGCACAATCGCAACTCTACTTCACAAACGTGGCCGGCTACATATGTGCCTCGCGGTACGCTTGACTATATCACGCGAACAACACGTGAACGACGCGAAAAGATGTTCACGTGCTACAAGAAGGGTCTTCGTGATGCACATCGAGGAAGCCACGTGAGTGAGCGTGAATCACGTGAGCGAGTGAGCCCGAATTAAACCCTCCCCCCACCCACCAACAGAGTTACAGGAACAGGCCGCATTTTATTACTTAGTCAAGTAAACTCACTCTGGACTGAGCTTGTCCTTTCCGTCTCATGAACTTGTAGTTTTCGTAGATTAGTTTGGCGCAGTATATCTTACCCACTGTCATTTGCGGCTGCTGGTTCACTTGATTCGCTGAGAAAGGAAATGGCACAGAAACGTTTTATCCAAGTGAAATTAAATTGTGGACATTCATTCTGGACAAACTAACTGCCTACGTCTGCGTTGGAGCATGACAGCAAGTATCTTCGGTTTTCGTACTACGAAGTAACTAGAAGTATTTCTACTCCCCCATGGATGGGATGCTAGTCCCCTGCATTAAATTCGCCGGTACTCATTTATACAACCGGGTGGAGAGAGGCACTGTGAGGGTGAAGTGTCCGGCTTGCCCAACAACACAAACCCAGACTGTCTACACGGATCTCAGTGCGCTAACTAGTAGACCATTGCGCCTCCCACAATATTACAAACATTTAACAAATTGACGTCAGTTTTTTTATGCGTCTGTCCTCTTAATGACGATAAATTGCGTCATAACATTCTTAAAGTGGCTGTGGTTACGCAGTAAACTTTGACAATGCTATGACGAAATTTATCATCAATAAGAGGACAGACGCATAAAAAACTGACGTCAATTTGTTTTTTACATTAACAAGACCCCAAAATGGTCAAATGCCCGGAAAAAATGAGGGGAAAAGACGCCGTAAACTTGCCGTAAACAAAGATAAGTGAATTTTATTCAAAATGACTCGAACATTGTCAATAACTTTTCTCGCTTTTTGATTGGCTACTTAAAAAGGTCGATAAAATCTCATTGGTTAAAAAGTTGACAGTTCGACAGCTGAAAGTTGAACTTGAAAGCTTGTATAAATTAAAATTTATCCGTCTGTACTCTTATTGATGATAAAAGTGAGCCAATCAGCGCGAAAGAAATTAGACAGTTCTTCTAAAAACTGTTCTTTAATCCAGTGTGTAACGCGGTCGAGGAAATGTCGTTATCATCAGCTAGCAAGTTTGGTTTTTAAAATCCCTTGAAGAAAACTTAGGTACCGCTTGTTCAATTGAACGAGTACAGTTAAAATCAGTCGGTATGATCTATCTACAAGGAGTTGGTTATCGATTCTTCACATCTACTTCCGAACCTCTCGGCAAGAAATTATTCTTTGTCTCGGGTTTCGTTTGCAATTCAACTACAAATTCTAAGTCAGCACAGAATCGCCATTTCTTGTCAATGTGTCTAGGGAAAAATCTCCGCAGAGGCGCAGACCAATGTGTCTCAGTTGATTACCAAACGGAACAACTTTAGGGTGGTGTTCCTACTGATTGTATGTTAAAATATTTGACAAAATACAGCTCAGATTTTTTACGCGTACATTTACCATTGTTGATCAGACTGGGGGGCTTGGGTACTACTCTGTCCAAGGTCTTCTTGGTGAGTTTAGGCCAGACTCTCTTTAGCATAGCTCTCAGTTCTTTATCGTTCTCCTTCAGATTATCTGGAAAGAAGCGCAACAATGTTACACAGAGGTCTGTAGCACAGTTACACAGAGTTAAACAGCTACACAATCCACGCAGGAAGCGGGTGTCCCAACAGCCTCGGATTTTTGGACGCTCCTGTAAGTCCACATAATTAACAGCGATCACGAGAACAGTTTGGACAAGCTTTTAGACTTTTATAAACAAACAAAGTTACATTAATTAGAGAGGAAGCCACATCAGCCTTAGCTGGTTTACATGCGGGTCCTCTGTCCTGGTCGAGTTGGAATTTGGAGTCTTGGTTTTTGTGATGGGAAGAAAACCGGAGAACATGGAGAAAAACCCTCGGAGCAAGGCGAGAACCAACAACAAACGCAACCCACATATGGCACTGGGCCGGAATCGAACCCAGGCCACATTGGTGGGAGGCGAGCGCTCTCACCACTGCGCCATCCTTGCTCCCCAAAATGCCGAAAATGCTTCTTTCACAAAGCGGTCATAAGTCACCTCACAAGAATTGTTCCCGCCAAAACTTATTCCTGGCGCCAAATGCAATAAACTGTCTAAGCGTTATGAAATCCTCTGATTTCAAGCCGAGAATTAGAATTACGACAATCAGAATTAAGACAGTCTTAACGCGTTTTGTTGAATAAACATGAAAACAGTCTCCAACATCTATTTCCGATACATGATTCGTAAAACGTCTTGAAAGCAGGCCTTGAATAGCCTGCGTCGCAGACAGTCTAAACCGCCGGGTACTATATCGGGGTTTTATGACACGTCCGGCTGCAACGCAGGCTGGCCTTGAAAAGGGTGTTGATAAAGCTTTTACTGTGTACACTGTAAATGCCAGTCAACATAACAAGTACATATACAGGGGTAAGGTTCTTATTTGAAATTGCCAGTTCTTACTTTTCTCGGTCATAATCTTAAGCGAGGTCCGCACCAGTGCAAACAGAGTAGCAGTAAAGGTGACCGTGTTGTCTGGGAACAGCGGCATGTTCATCTTGATCAGGCGCTGAAAAAGAGCCAACAGAAGTCAGATAAGTCATGTAGCTACATTTCAAAGTTTCCCCAGTGCCTTATGCGTGACAATAAAATAATAGAGAGTTTTGTGTAAGTGTGCTCTTGGCTGTAAATTGCCCGACTGACAGTCACTTCTCCGGTTAAATCTTACAAATAGTAAAAAGTTTCTTCTTACTTACCTTGTAAGCAACGATCTTTGGACATTTCTTGCCTATTCCAATTGGTGGAGACATTTGTCGTAACAATTGACATACTTCAGTGTGCTTGATGCGGCCCCTGAATGGTGATAGCAACAAACAAACAAATAAACAAAAAAAAAAAAAACAAACACACAACCCAATCAGTCAGTCAGTCAGTCTGGCTCTGAACCCCGTCTTTAGATTTTTTTTAAACCTTTGCAAAAAGTTGCTTTTTATCACGGTTATCACAATTCGATTATAAAAAATGGGGGTCACCGGGCTAATTTTTTATTTGTAAACAATTAACCTACATTAAGGGCGTTTTAACAGATTGCACTGTTGCGATGGTAACATGTTATTTACTTGTTTACCAATGATTGGGAACTTGTGTGATATCATTATCGCAGGATTATAAAATCAATGAGTGATAACACTGATCCATCAAGATATAAGCGATGGAAAGAGCTGAAAACTGTAGTCAGCCACCTTAAGAACTGACGTAACACAAGAGAGGAACTTACGTGGCTCCAGGGTCGAACTCAGACCACACCCGCACAAACTCGTCCAGGTGGTGTGGGCCAAGAATGGACTCATCACGTGTTAGGTATTCAAAGTTGTCCATGATGACAGCCACGAAAAGATTCAGAAGCTGTCAACAAAAGCAAAGGAGATTGTTGCTTTCTCTCGGCACACAGAATTCCGAATGAATGAACCTACTGCTCTATCGGTCGATTAATCAATCCAGTCACCTCTATACTTGTTACATAAACACTCTATAACCATTTAAACTAAAATATCCACCTTTTTAGTAGTACAATAACTTACCAGAAAAGAACAAAAGAAAATGAAGGAGATGAAGTATAAATACGCAAATGCACTGCCACATTTGCCCTCTTTATCTTGACAATCTGCATCAGCTGTACACGCCAACATTATGAGCTGCCAGTTTTCACCTGTTGCGGACCTACAAGGCAAGGAAAGGACTCTAAGTCACGCAACAGCATGATCTCTTTTGGTTGCTATACCTTATTCTAACTAATTTTCGGGCGTACTTAATTTCGCGAAAACTCGGAAGCTGTATTTTGCGAGTACTAATTTGCCAGATTCCAGGAAAAAACTGTAAACAATTAGATTTAATTTCGCGGTTTTACCATTGCTGAAGTCTCCCAAATTCTAAGCCGAGGGGCCCCGTTTCACTACAAATGGGGAAACGGATGACTGTACTAAAGCGGTTTTGGCGGATTTACCAGCTGAAGATCACAGTGAATCGGAGGAAGGGTGCTAACAGGTTGAAAACAAGAGCATGTCAAAGACTCATGGACATAAATTGAAAAATTACCAACAAGCCTGTGGCTCAGAATACTTAAAATCCACGAATTGTTTTCTTACATAATATGGATTACATTTCGCGTGTTAATTTTCGCGATTTTTTTCCAAGACGCGACAATCGCGAAATATAGAACGCGAGAAAATTAGTAAGAATAAGGTAATATGTCAAATTATTCTCGCAGTGAGATTGGTTCTTACTTGTGATCTAATGGAGGACAGACGTATAGATGACGTCATTAATATTTGTTTCTTTATTCTATAAAACAGACAGATTCCAAGCTGCCGTGCGTCCGTTCAGGAACTGATCACAGAAGACGCCAAAATGTGGTAAAAACATAAGTGACACACGGCTCGGCTATCGCCTTGTGTGCCACTTTTTTGTTCCTACCTCATCACCTGTGATCAATTACTACACAGACGCACAGCAACATGGAATCTATTTATAAATGTGATCCCAAGAACACAAAGAACTCAAGATCCAGTTGCTTTAGGGTTGAAGTTGTAAAAACAAAACCTCAACACAGAGACAAGATAACAATGATCTGTACGTCATTGACCATCCTCGAAGACCCAAGGGCAGACAGTGGGAGCGAGAGAAAGTCGAACAGATTGAAAAAAACCGCAGTTTTTCCTGTTGTTTCGATTGGCTCTCGCCCCCACTGTCTGCCCCTGGGTCTCCGAGGATGGTCATTGGCGTGACACTCAAATCTTCAAGTAAATGTGTGGCGTGACGATCTACTGTGCATACCTGAAAAGAACTTGAATGGCTTCAGGAAATGACTGGAAGTTATTTCGACTTGCAATCTGATCCCAAGGCTCGCCGCGTTCTGCGTTATCAATAGTGATTTGACCGAACATCTGCATGAAGCAATAGTTAGTTAATTTCATCTTTCTTACCATTAGTCTCTTTCAAGACAGTCATAATCATGTGAAGCTACACTTTCAAAGACAGGATTGCGACTTTAAGGGGATCTTCTAGGTGGGATCAAAACAAAGCTCAGTCACTTGCAGGCGTTTTGGCTTGACGTTTATTCTGCCGAGAGCTTAACAATCCGGTCGCCTATCTTGCCGCCATCTTGGAGTCGCAAAACGAAAAGGGGAAGCCAGGGCAGGACGAGGCGAAGAGGAGACGGGTAGGAGCCTTGCCCCTACCCCAACATGAACAACGAGACAACGTTTAATTGTACTGTAAGTTTACAAGATAAATATAATATATAAATTGAAAATAGACACACTAGCTGGTCACCCAAAATCCGAATCCAAGAAAGCGCTCACTCGCTCAAGAAAAAAACAAAAAAAACAAAGATACTTGCGTTCGCCCAGTCAAAATATACCTCAGTAACCAAGAACACATTCTTCCGCATTAAACGTACCTGCATCCCGATGACTGCATAGATAAAGAACAAAAGTCCAATGAGCATACCAACGTAAGGTAACGCCTAGAACACAACACATACGTCTAATCAGTAAACTGACATACTTCCAATATTGCCATGTCCAAGATCGTAATACAAATTCTCCTTGCTGGCTGGCAGACATTCCTTCTGACATTCTGACAATATTACATTTTGACATTATAAAATTATGACATTATGACACCATGACACTTTGACATTTTGACATTACGACATTTTCACAATACGATAAGGCGACATTTAATATTCTCGCCAACGGTTAGCTGTACATATTTTGACATCGTAAAAAGAAATTTTTATTATTCCCGTCTAACCACATTACACAGGGTACCAGCTTGAAGTTTTTTTTTTCCAAAAACAACAACCAAAAGAAGGGAGCTTAAACTCATTTGATGGCAGACTTGTTAATTAATGCGATTCTCGCTTTACCTTAAATGACTGCAGAAACGTCCACAACAAGATTCTGATTGTGTAACCCTGCCTTAACAGCTTGATCAGCCTAGCCGCTCGGAAGAGACGGAAGAGACTAGGGTCGAAGGGCATCGAGTCAGACTCATCAGACTGTAAGTAAACAAAGTCACGTGATTGGGGTAAAATTTACTATAGACCTCTTGCTTAGGCGGCCACTAGACTGTTAACATTGCTAGAAATCAAATCCACTTCTCAAGGTGGTGTAAGTGTCCTATTTCTTCTATCCATATTTAGTATAAGTCTACCAGCGTTCTATCACGAATGCCGTTCTATGATTGGCTACGCTACTCACTATCTATTCTGTGATAGATAGAGATGGCGTTGCAGTGTATCCTTGTTAACTAAATGACGTCCCCTTCTTGGTGTTTTCGAATTGTCTGTGAAGAGGATTTTGAACGACTTGTAGATTTATACTAAAAGAATTAGATTATTCACTCTCGATTTCTATCGCGTGATAGTTGACGAGCCTCACCTGGATCCTGCTAAGAGCAAAGTCCAACAAACTTCCAAGGACGATTATGAAGTCGAACACGTTCCAGCTGTCTCGGAAATAATTCTTGGAAGAATAGTTAAAAAGAAGATCAGGATTGTAACAAGCGTTTCTGGTTAAAATGCACCATATGCTTCACCTGCAAACAATTCTCTCTGTCACGAAATGAGTCATTTCTTTCTCAATGAATACAAGAAATTGAAAACAATTTGAATTGGAACAACTAGTGCCATATCCCAGAGCTAGCCTGTACTACATGTTGTAAAATAATGTTTTTCTGTCTTGTGTATCCTGTAAGCTTTAGCAGTGTAAAGAGCAGTGTAAAGTAGTTCTGTAATTAGCGTTAGTTTTCAGTCCTAGTATTTAGTGTGCATTTTTCTTAGTGTTAACGTAAGTAGTGTCCTTGTACATTATTTTGGGTCTTTTGAGCTATAAAACGGTGTTAACAAGACATTGTAAACTGTTGTGCATTATTAAGTATTGTATCGCCATTTGTAAGTAGTATTAAAGGACAATATTGTAAGTAATAATAGAAAGATTAGAATTTTCGTCTTCATAGCATGTTGCATGGCCATTTAGTAATGTTCCGTGCAAAGACTTACCGTTCGGAAGGCAAATAGTTTCAAGATAGCCTCTCCCGTGAACATGAAGGTAAATATCGTGTTGAACAGGTCAAGAATCTCTCGATACAGGGGAGGCTCGTCATCAAACTGATTACAAAACAAAAAAAGGAAAAATATTATCTTGAGCACACTGTAATTGTTTGCCGGCAAAAATTTAAATTCAAAACTACTGCTTTCCACAAATGGTATGCACTCCTCTCAATTTACATCGTTATTAGTTTATCTTCACCATTCATGCTATTTTCAAAATTTAGATTTAAGGAACTGTCATTTAACAAATTGACGTCAGTTTTTAATGCATCTGTCCTCTTATTGACAATGAATTTCGTCATGACATTGTCAAAGTAGCTGTGGATCCATGAGCCGATAGCCGAGTGGATCCTCAGACCACTTTGATAATGTTATGACGAAATTCATTGTCAATAACAGGACAGATGCATGAAAAATTGACATCAATTTGTTTTTTACGATAACAAATTGTCAAATTGTCCGCTCTCGCTCGTCTGACGCATCGCATGATTTATAAATTCATTTGTCTGTACGCATATTGACAATAAAAATTAGCCAATGAGCGCGTGAGAATTTCTGCAGTTATCGCAAAAAGTATTTTCTTTCATCATAGCCCTGGCCTTGTGACAGATTTATGTTGTAGGTCGAAATATAGGCTTCAATAAACCAGCCCGGTTGTCATGTCAGGCTGACATTCAGTTTTTATTTGACTTGAAGTGCCGCCTAACACCAGCATCTTACAGAAAGACGTTTTTTTTCCTCCATCGTGTAGACCTTTACATTTAAAAGATTTCTGATGTCACTAACACTTCAGATTTCTCTCACACTTGCTCTTGCCGCAAAGATGTGCGCATGTTTCATGTCGCTTGATTAGGTTGGCGTTAATTCTTGGGAAACACCTTAAAACCCTTGATTTTCTCGACATTTCCTCCTAGAAGGTAGCTGCTGAGACCAGTTTTCATGCTCAAATTACCTATAGTAATGGTCATAGAGAGCACTATAAGCAAACTTCCAAACACAAACCACATTTTAAGACTTTCGTATTCAAATCACACAATACCGGCCAGCAGAACCTTTCTGCTCGTTACTAAGAAGAAGTTACGTTAAACCCAGAACTGACCTTCATGGTAAGAATGAGGGTGTTGAGAGCAATGAGTATCATGATGAAAAACTCAAAGGGACTGGAATCCACGATTCTCCAAATACGGTACTGCCACGTGTTGGGATCTTGAGGCATGAATCTTTCAGAAGGTTTAGCCACGATGGCAAAATGAAGACAATCCCGCTAACAAACAAGGATGGAAAACGTAGCACAAAAGAATACATTAGACCGCATATTTCAACATAACATAATCTTTCATATGCTCGTTTGCTTCTTTAAATCCACAGACAAAAGCTTATTACATTGAAGAGTCTTCTAACCGCGTGGCAAAAGTTAAAGCCTCACAATGGATGCTGATCAATCTAAAAATAGACTTGGAATGATTCATATGGATGGCAGAGACCAGCTAACCCAGTCATTCTCTCCTAGACATCTCAATTTTATTTTGCCATAATACTTGATTAATTACAACTACACGTAACGCTGTTAGGTTCTTGAAGGAAAACTAAATCCAAGATGTATCAGGCATTGTTGCTGCACGCATTCCTTGTTTCACGCAATGGCGCTTGTCACGCATCCTTCTCACCTGATTTCTGTCCAGTTCGCAGTCACCCTGGTCCTTCTCTCCCTGTTCTTGAAAGGTAAGGATAATGAGTGCTACGAAAATGTTGATGAAGAAAAACGAGAAAACTACAACGAAGAAAATGTAGAAGAGCGCGATCTCGATTTTGTTGTCGACGATTGGTCCACGGTCGACGGCGGTTGTGTCAATGGAGGCTTGCATTAGGCTAAAAGAGAATGAAAGAAAAAAAGGTAAGTACAAAAATATGACCGGTGAACGGCCATAAGTACGCGCCCCTCTTGCCCGTCCAGAAAACAAGCAATTGAAAAAATAAGCTCCCACAATCGAAGACACACACACAGACAAAAAAATGCCGCTAATAAGCCCTAAGATTGAATATAATCAAATGGACATAGCTCTTGAAGAAAAATATAATTTCTTGGGTGAAAGCCTTCTACGGTGCCGTTTTTGTATTTCATGTGGTTCCAGTTTGTTCACAGAATTGCACCATTTTTGGAGAGCAAAATTCCGTCAGATAACAAGGCCTTTTACAGCCTCGAAAGTAAGCCCCCAGGAAAAAAAACGGAGCAACATTATTTTCGTAATTTTCCTGTGTCACAATTTTTCTCCTGTCAAGTAAATGACTGATTTCCTTGTCTTTTGGAAGCCGACATAGAGGCCCTGAGATGGACTAGCATCCCACCCAGGGGGGAGTAGAAATGCTCCAAGTCGCTCCATGCCACAAATACCAGAGATAGTCGCGCTGGCCAGCCGGACCACTTGGCTCGAAAGCAGACTTTATCATGGGCGACCACAGAAGACGATAGTGAGGAAGGTGACTGTACGACTCACAATCACCTTTTCTCTTCATGGTTACTATAAAACAAATGGTTTGGTAGCCTTATGAGCATACACAAGATTACAAAAGCTCTTACGCTGGCCAGCCTTCTCCAGTTGATGATGTAAACAACGATAACATTGCATAGAACACATTGTCAAAATTATATTCTTGTCCTTCCCAGGAGCGTTCCTTGATCTGGAAAGAAATCACAAGCTTAAGAATTAGTTGGTGAAGTTTTAAGTTCTTCTCTGCAAATTAACTATTTTCAAGTTTAAATAATTTCCAAGTACTTCAAATATTCTGCTGCGCATCGTATTTTCAAGTCTCTTTTCAGAGTTTGGAAATGTGGTCAGATACAGTCAATATTTTATCCGTTGATTTATCATTTTTTAATAGCTTTTCCTTTAAAAGACAAAATGGATGTCCAAAATCAATGCACAACGCGTCTCTCCGCTAGGAGCGTTTCATGACAGTAAAAATAGCTGCCATATTTTTCATGTGAAAACGGCACCCACTGCGTACGACACTGCTGCTTATTTTCAGTCTAAGGTCGCCCTGTCCATCTACACTTCGCAAGTATAGTTTATTTGAACACTAAATACGATGAAAATAATATTGAACCACTTACCTCGACATTGGACAGGTCAGACAAGTCAGGATATGAAAAGTATTGCCCCCTGCAAATAAATCATTTTGCGGTTACGTACTAAATTTGGCACAAATTCAGTGGAAGATGTCTTGACGGGCACTGTCGTAAGCGGGCAGCTCCACTTAAGACCGCCTTCATAAAACCCTGTTTGAACAAAATCTGTATTTTTTCATTCCCGTAAGCGGACATTCCTTTAAGCGGCCGCGGACACTTTCAGGCCTTACGATTTACACATTTTTCCTTCAGTGTTTTCGAGCTCAGTCCCGTAAGCGGACACCCGAAAGGAATTGGGTCCAACTGTAAAAGATACTCATAAACATTTGTAAACTGTTTGACTGCATTTTTGCAGTGGGACTGTTAATCTTGATTGCAGTTATGATTTGTTCTTCAGTCCTAGTACTAGAGTATGCAGTGCTGTTTACAATGGCAAACGACAATAAAACAACAACAACGACAACAACAACAACAACACAATCATTTAACACGGTGGTATTTCTTGCATTCCCAATGTTTATTGTTAGCTGGGCAAGCTCCGTAAGTGGCCATCTATCCCTTTCACCACTCGTGGCCGCTTATGAGAGCTTAACCGTCCTCGCAAACGGTCAGCTCCGCTTACGGACACCTTTTTCGCCTTCCGAGGGTGTCCGCTTCAAAAATACCAATAGGGTAATAACAAACTGAACGAGAAATCAGATTGAGAAAGCTTGAAAGTTATCCAAATACACGCACACATTTTGTGTAGATAAACGAGAATATAAATACATAAATTTGGGCACGCCTAGGCTCGATTTCCGCCGCTCTCGAGAGTCCGGTCTACGTTCCTCCCCGAAGAGACTTGGGGCTCCCCGAAGAGACTTCGGAAAGGAGCGCGGGCTCCTTTCCCGAACAGCGGCTGGTAATCGAGCCTAGGCATGTCCGCATGTAGCAAAGGCTAATCCAGGCGCTAGTACCAAGCGTCACCAACATACGCGCGTCTATAAAAAACAAGAATGCCGCACCAAACACGATGCTTCATCCAAGCCAAAACAACATCCTTAGCTTGCGAGAGAGCTTTCGTGGTAGCTCTAAGGGTCCTTAACTTCATTGCAATGACAAATCCTCCCAACTATTGTGATAAGAATGTATAGAGACTAATAGAGAGAACTTGGGTGAAGATCATACGGAGCTAGCTAACTTACTGGCACTCCTCCTTTGTCATCTTCGAAGGGTCATCACATTTGAAAAATTTCCCCTGAAAGATACAAAGTGCATCAATTGTTGCCCTAGAGATTGTCTTGAATAAACACAATAAACATCTAGGAATGTATTGTTTACTCGTTGGAATATTAAGCTCTTAATGACTGGCCCCCAGGAAAACAAAACTCAATGTTTCCCGCGGAACCAGCAATTAAGTGTGTTGTTATATCTCCCAACTCAAAAATAGAAAAAAAAAAAAAACTGCGAAGAAATCGTTTGCTTGAGGCCAGCTGGCTCAAAAATTTGCCGCGGTTTCAAAGAACACGCCCTTATCACGTGCTAGTCGAAAGTTAAAGTTGTTGTTTCCCCAGGGAATTAGTGAGTTTTGACCCACGACACGTGACACGCTCTCCTCCAATCCGAAAACGTATTTGAGTTGGGAGGTATAACAAAATCATTTAATGACAAGGGCTTTCACTTGAAATTTCAATTCGCAATTCCTGCGCTATCAGAATTCATTTAAAATCCTTGGAAATTTAGCATAGATTTCACGAGTCTGAAGATAACTGATAGCATCAGTCGTAAGCGAATGTTTTCTGAATTTCTCAGGCACTACATTCCTTACATTTGAAGTTTCTATTGAAATAGGGCTAACATAAAATAAGACTACACATACTGCCGACCAGTAACATAAGACAATGCTGCTGTACAGTCAGAGTCTTATATTCAGACTAGCGTCCATTTTACTTCCTTACCTGGAAGAGCTGAACTCCAATAACAGAGAAGATGAACAAAAACAGAATGGTGATGATCAAAATGTTGAGAACATTCTTCAGTGAGTAAACCATACACTGGAACACAGCCTAGAGTGGCGGAGAAACAGAGAAAATAAGATGATATTCTCTCTCTAGTCATATCGTAAACGAATGGGATTTTGCGCATAAAACACGTAGGTACATTAACATACGAGAACAGGGAAAGGTAAACTTTAACAAACAAGTACAGGGAATAGTAAACTCAAATCAAAAGTATATGCCATACTCTACTCTGAACGACATAAAATCAAGACAAGCTCCCCGACAGGAAGCTTAAAATCAAAATAAGTCATCCTCCTCTTCAAGGGATAAGCCCATGGACGGAGGGGGGAAGGGGGCGAGGGGAATTATCATTCGAAAGTATTTGCACGTCAGATTTGATGGGCTAATCTTTGGCAGGGATTCTCAGTCATTGGCCTGAAACATCAAGCTGAGTGGTTTCGTTCGTTCACTGCCATGAAATGTGATGAGTATTTTGGCAGGAACCGCAGAAAAACTGGAATCATGAGCAACTCAGTCCATGCGGATGGAAAAGTACCTTCAATTTCTTGGCCTTGTTGATGGCCTTGAGTGGACGAAGAACCCTGAGAACTCGCAAAACTTTCACGGTTTTCTTGGATCCCGGGTCGATGGTAGATTGATCCTGATTCCTGTATATAACACATGTTAATCAACTCAGCGATAAGAGTGCCTCGTCATGCAACAAGAATTACGTTGATGAGGAAATATCGCTTCTAAATCAGAGAAAGTGACATTTAAAATACTAGTTTAGGTAGATCCAAGCACATGTTAGTTTAGATAAAAAACGAGATGTTAGTTCAGGTCAAAGAGATGACAATAAACCGAGGAAAAAAGAAGAATGTTGAAGGTTTGGGAGAACTAAGATGGATTCTGAACGCCAAACTAGACACTGCAGAAGAAGACACACAGTGTAGCTGGAATTCAGTTCCTCCCAAACAGTTCCCAATTTGTACGCGGCCATTTATTCTCTCGGCGCCTTTTGAGAAGGAGCGATGTTGACACTAATCTATCCAGTTACTGCACCCAATCAATAGCTTCCGTACGTTACTTTCAAATGAACAGTCGCGCCATAGTTAGTAGTCGCCTCTACTAACTATGGTCGCACGAACCAACATTTAACTGTTTTCACACTGAAGAAGGGCTTTGCCCGAAACGTTTGTGATTTTTCACAAGATGACACTTTGACATTTTTCAATTTTTATTTCCTTTCGAATGCTTATAGCCATTTAGGTGCCACGCATCAACTGAGGAGAACAATTTATTTATTCATACGAAACATTTATTTAAAGCAATCGGCATTTGTTACCCCATGACAAGTGAAGCAATGGCGCAGCTCACGACCAAGGCGTCAATACAATTCCACGCATCTCTGAAGTACGAGCCCGGGTGAAGAATGGCGCCGTAATCAATCAGCTGGAAACAAGAAAAGAAAGGCTGCTTTTCAATTGCTTGTCAACATCAGTCAAAGGCTCGGGTGGATAGAGGATTTTAGAGACGGGGGTTCAAGATACGAACCCCCTGTAGGGGGGTTTCGGGAACATCCTCCCCCAGAAAATTTTTTAACTTAGGTCCTCGGAAATGGGATTTTGAGGCCGAGTCAGCGTGTTATAATGTCTCATTATTTTTTAATTCAGACTCTTTAAAGCTCTGCTCTTGAAGTTGTGTCCTGGAAAAATGGCGAAAACAATTCACTCAATATCTTCATCTTAGTGTCCAAGGCGTGTTTCCTGTATAAGGGAAGGTACTAAGTCACAATCGTATTGCCATTTTAATCCAAACTGTAGGAAAATCTACGTAAAATCGCCCCTCTACTATGAATAGAAAGACGAGTTTTCTTCCGTTCTCACAGACTATCAACAGCAGCTGGTCAAATGAACTGAGAGTAAGCGAGAGTCAATACAATTACCTTAACAAGGACCTCCATGGCGAACACTGTGGTGAATACATAGTCAAAATATGTCAGCACCTGAAAGATTGAAACGCGACTAGTGTTATTTTCTTTTATCACGGTTTTTTATTCTTTTTTGACTATTTTGGAATCGGTGGTGTACAAGTGAAAAGGATTCTGCGGCTTTAAGTAAAGAGCCACTGGATCAAAGGAAAAGGCAAAGCACATCTTCAATTCCAACGACTTTCCAAGCCAGCTCTTAACTCCGGTGTCAGCATTATTAAAACGACTTAGAGCATTTCTACACCCCCTGGCTGGGATGCCAATCCGTCGCAGGGCTACCCCCAGTAATAAATTTGCTGGTAGCCTTGATACACTTGGTTTAGAGGCATGTGAGAGTTAAGATTTAGAATCTTACCTAAGAGCGTAACACAATTACCCTGACCAGGGAATCGTTTCTCGACAGCCCCGGAAACTTTTCGGGCCCGAAATGCCATTTTTAGTTAATCGGTATTTAAAGACGGAGAGGTGTATGCGCCTGAAACTTCTTGTACGGAATGGACCCTATGTTTATATTAAGAATATGTGAATAAAACAGCTCTGTAATCATAAGGTTTGAGATTTTGCTACGGCTTTCCGGGTGCGAAAACTTTTCGGGACCTTCGAGAAACGAGCCCCAGGGTTCGAACCCAAACCACACAGTGCACAGTCTAGCGCCTTAACCAGTAATTCATCAATGCCCCATCGGTCGTTACACGACACCGATTCCAGTTCGGTCTTAATTGACTGCTATAAGCTCTCATACCTCGTTACGTTTGGACTCTTCATCGACTGGATCTTCAAGAGCCAACAAGACGCTACTGATTAGGATTATAACCAAGATAAAGTTATCAAAATGCCGTAAATTCACCAGCCAGTGACACGCTTTCCGAACCCTGAAAAGACAAAACAAAACGGCTTAAGTGAAGTTCCTAAAAAAGGCATCCTGTGGTTTTCACCGGCTAATAGTAGAAGTACTCCGTAAACTAGACTAAATGGCGAGGCTGTGCTGGAAAGGGGCACCGTTTTAGGCTGGAGGTAAATAAAAGGGTGGGGCAGGATTTCAGGAGTTAAAGTACAGGAAGGAAAAACGGTCATTTAACTATTTAGAATTACCTTTTATTAAGTTCATTTCTGAGGTAAACATGAAACGAATACAGTGTTTACACCGCAGGCATGTGACAGAGGTGCCATTTTCAATGGAGGGTAAATGAAAGGGTACCTTTTTAGTCAAAATTGGGATATGAAGGGGCCAGGTTTTGTGCGGAATTTAATGAACTTGAATTCACACACATTTTTAGGCCTTGTCCACACGACGCCGGAGGAATTTGAAAGCGGAGTTCTCGCTCTGAAAACGCATCAAATATTTTCAGTCCAAACCACACCGAAGGAAGTTAAAACGCAAAAATCACCGGCCATTTTGGATTTGCGTTTCAGGAAAATTCGGTCAGGGAAATCACACGAAAAGCTCCGTTTTCAAAAATGTTTTCCGTCCACACGAAAACGAAAACCCGGTGTTTTCAAATTTCTTGAAGAGCGTTTTCAAAAACGCTCCGTTCTCGTGACGGATTAGTGTGGACGGTAGGCCTAACCGGAGAAATGAAGCTGCGTTTTCAAATTTCTCCAGCGTAGTGTGGACAATCTGCACATAGGCAAAAATGGTTTTATTGACACTATTGACATTACTCGTGGCCTTTCTGAGGGAATGACACCTGTAGAAACATGCTACCTTGCCTGCTCTATAACAAAAAGAACATTATGATAACAGATTCTTATCATCGGTATACGCACGGGTTTCCAGGTGGGAAGAGAAATAAGGACCACGTGTCTATCATTGGTACAGCTTCCCCAGGCTTTTGATGAGGAACCATTCGGCCAGGGTTCCTAAGGTTGCTGAGAAATGATGGTTTGCCTGTGAGTGAGTGAAACAACAGATCAATCAAGTAAGTCGTTGGGAAAAACACTCAAAGCCAAATTGTTTAATGAACGCTCTTTTCATTTTTTAGTTCGTCAGCCGATGAGAGAGATTTTGTGACTAGCCTTTGTCACGCAGTGAGAAAGAACAGTATGACGAGCTGAAATAATAATAATAATAATAATAATAATAATAATAATAATAATAATAATAATAATAATAGACTTGTATAGCGCTAGAACTATACAAACATACTCAAAAGCACTTTACATTAAGTTAAAATAAATGAATAAATGGAAATCACTAAACTTTAAAACTATTACAACAACTATGCTAAACTTTAAAACTATTTCCACAAGTCAAAAGCTTTCTTAAGAAGAAATGTTTTCAGTTGCTTTTTGAAAATGGCGAGGCTGCTACTTGTTCTTATAGTTAATGGCAGCGAGTTCCATAAAACAGGTGCAGCATGAGCAAAGGCGCGATCCCCAAGTGTAGAGCAGTTGACTTTTGGAACAACCAGAAGAGATTTTGCAGACGAACGAAGAGCGTAATTTGTATCTGGTTTCAGGGATAAAAGATCATTTATGTAGGAAGGACTTTGGTTGTGTAGTGCCTTGTAAACAAGAAGAAGCAATTTAAACTGAACTCTAAACAATACTGGGAGCCAATGTACTGGGAGCCATTATAATGGCCTTTCCTGTATACCACCACTCGTTGGCAGATTGATGATCCTAAAAAATATGAAGGGTAACAATTAGCACCTCAACAAACATGGAATAGATAATAATTGTCATTCACAGACCAAAAAATCAGTGACACGCAAAGTGAAGTGAACTAAATAAAATCTTTTTATGTGCAACTACCATTTTAAAAGACATTGTTTGTAGTCACTAATGAGTAATTGCATTTAATGTCTTGTAACAACATTCCAAAGACAAGACAAGTAAGTGATGTCAGGCATAAAACTCAACAAATTATCTCAAAAGGAAAACGTTCGATATTTCAGTATCAAACTTGAGGTATGGAAGTTATGGGTATTCAACCTTTATTTCTTAACTGGACCTCCTCTTGTCAGCATACTATAAATTTATGCTAGATTAAAGGATGTACCAACCCTCTCTGAGATACTTTGTTCCAGCTGTCTGTTTGATGTAATCAGCACATCTTTCCAGTATTTTGACTTCGGATTTAGTGAAGGCCATTCACTTTTTGTTCGCTGTAAGTTTTTGTGTAAGGCAACAAACTGTGCAAGTGCCACATCCTCTTTTTTCTGCCAAACAATCCTTTGCTTCTTTGAGTCAAATTTTAAAACTTTTGGCGAAGTATTAACTCCTTTAAGTCTTGTGACTAATCTTGGTTGGGGTACCTTTGCTTAAACAGAATTAAACAGAATATTATTCTCAATGATGTAATATACAAAAATGTAATACTTCAAAATCTTCAATTATTATGCAAAATAAAGAGCTTAAAATTTATACCCCAAAAAATTTCAAAAATATTAAAACTTGAAGATTAAGACTAAAGAATAAGGAAATCTGGGAAAAGAAAAACTGCACAAATAAACAATGTGACAAAACCTTCTGACCAGGCGATTCTCTGGAGGGAAAATTCATCGAATTTTTGAACTGAGCTTCACAGATAGGTTAAATCTCAAATTGTAAAATTAACCAAAAAATCATTTTACTAACCGGCTTTCCTGAGGGAGAACTGCCGAAGAGAGACTTTCTTGAAGAACCAGTTGGAGTCGGTCTTTTTCTCAGCGGCTTGTTTCATGTGTTCCCCGTCTCTACATGTAACCTCTTCTGATCCATATTAATAGACTCTGTTGATAAAACAGCCGAAAAGAAAGATTTCCTTTCGTAAGAAACCTCACAGGCAAACCAGTCATCTTCAAATAACAAAGCAAAACTTATTACTCGGGCTTTCCAAAGGAAATGACCGAGGTATAAATTCGGCCCCATTTTTTTTTTTTTTTTTTTGCGTTCAGTCACAAAACGCAGNGATCAGTGTCTTTGTGGATTGCGCGGTAAGGAATTTTCTGATCTGTCTTATGTTGTATAGTCCACGAAAAGCCTTGCTACAAATCTTGCCAATGTGAACATCCATTCGCATATGAGCATCGAACCAGGCCCCAAGGTTCCGGACGCTTTCTAACGGTTTAATGACAGTGTCGCCAATGATAATAGAATCAATAGATGTTTTGTTCAATAGATGATAATAGAATTAAATGATAATAGAATCAATAGATGTTTGTTCAATAGATGTTTTTTTTTAATACGTGGGCGAGCGTAGATATGGAACTTTATATCTCACGAGTGAGCGCAGCGAACTCGTGAGATATTAAACTGAACACTCGAAGATATATTCCATATTTACAAGCAACCATGTATTATTTTGTTTATTAATAGACATACTGATAACGACGTTTTTGACCATTTGCCGAAGATTTCCGACGAATTTTCCTAAAATTGTCTCAAGTGCACGCGAACGTTTCTGGACAATTTCCGAGAATTTTCGAAGGTTATCGAAGATTGCCAAAGATTGCTGAAGACTTTCGATCATTCAGCAACAAATTTAAGTACAGTTTAAGGGTCAAACATGATATCAGAGAGGAGTAACCGATATCTTCACCAGTGAGGATACGGAAAATACCCCACCCGATTCCCGAATGTGGTTTCGTATGAATTTTACAAGTGGTAAAACACTCGTGTCTGTGTAATAAAGGTGCTTTTTAAAATTAACATCGATGTAAATTAAGATCGATGCATTAAACCTACGCGATTGTTTTTAAATCGCGTGAATAATGTGTATCGTTAATTTCCTATAATAAGGCAGTTCCAAAACTGATGAATTTAGTCAAAGCTATGTGAGCTTTATTCTGAGTAAAGAAAGACATCGGCTAAGTTGCAGTAGTAGCTGAGGAAGCAGCAGTGGCAGTGCATTTAACATCGCAGAGGTAATGGTGGTGGCGGTAGGTAATGNTCCACAGTTCAGATTGAAGTCGTCAGAAGTCTTATCACCGACAAGTATACGTTGTTTGCGACCAGACAGAAATGAGTCAAACCAATTTAAAGCAGTTCCGACGACTCCAAAATCCTGTTGCAAAATATTAAGAAGAATGCAATGTTCAATGGTATCAAAAGCAGCACTTAGGTCCAGAAGTACGAGAAGTGTCACTTGCTTATTAAGTTCAACAACGAAATGAGACGATAAATACGCCGCTTACATACAAATGCGCTTACATATACATAAGAACCGTAAGGGGCAATGAGATCATAATGCTTAAATATAGAGCGACTTTCAACTTTTGGCAAGAACAAGAACAGCACATTTCATGAGCAAAATTTATCAGGGAAGGAAATCAGTCAAAACTCAGAACTTAAAAGAGCTAGGTCACGGTTTGCTCATCTTGAAAAGTTTGGCGTAAATTTTTCGAGTTCGTCGTTTGTAATCCGTGTTAATCTTCTCCATCCTTACCCATCCTTGTTCCTTTATGGTTTATTATTATTTCTTTGTTGTTTTTCTAGCTTAGTAGACTACTATTTCTAGGTTTCCTTCAATTTAAAGGTAATTTTGTACGTGGCCAAAATAACTCAATCTACTGTAACTGAGCTCCTATAAAGAATAAATTTGTGTTCAAAACGGCGTACCATCATCAGCCTCTTCCTCAAATTCATCTTCAGTGGGGCCTGCCTCGTCACCCATGCCCTATGCATAAATAAGAAGTCAAAGACAAGTCAACCTAGGCATTATATACTGCCATCTTCCAACCCACAAGCAAGTAGAGAAATGGCTCACAGATTCATTTGTAACTGGTACTATCGAGGAAAGAAAGTGGAGTGCGGGTAATCAGGATTGAGAATGGATTGGAGTGTCTTCTAGAGCTCAATTGACTATGAACAGAAAACAAAGGGACAGAAAATAGGCAGAGGGATGGTTGAGGAATCACGAGAGAACAACGTCTGGGTTGAGATCCTGCAAAAAGACAGCACAGAGCAGAAGGGCACTTAAATCTGAACACGTCCCTGAGTGTATAGTTAAAATGATTCCTGATTATTTTCTTTTGCGTGTACTTTCCGATGCCAAAAGTAAAGTAAAAAAAGTAAGTTACAAGGATTCATCAGACAGCTGTCACTCACAAATGACAGGAAAGGAACATAGAAACACATGGCTTTAAAATATTCTTACCCTCCTGGCATCCCCATTACGCCTGCAAAATAGAAACAAACAAACAAACAAAACAAAGTAAATAAAATGAGCTTTAAATGAAACCTCCCTGTTCATACTTTCCTAAAAGTGTAAATTTTTAGTTTGTACAGGAAGCATTTCATCACAAGTTAGATAATGAACATTTACATCAAGATGTAAGGTTTTTTTTTCGGCATATCCAGTTATCTTAATTTTTCTTATGGTACAGAGAGACTGTCCTTCCATGTGTCTGCTTCACATAATAATGTGTTTTTGCAAATCTTTCTTGCCTCATTCCATCCACACCACAAAGAAAGAAAACTGTCACAAGTTACTTCACAACATGTGCAATGTATAAATATTACGTTAAACCTTTGTACTCACTATCCCTTTCAGTTCTGATGTTCATCCCAGGTATACAGTTCAGATAGTGTCTCATTCATGCTTAGTTAATAGAGGTAAATGGTTAAGAAACCTGGCAAAGTTCTTTGATGTATATGTTTTTGTTGGCTATTTTAGGGGTCGACCCTGCACAAAACCTGACAAAATACAAAGAGTGGTTATGCGTGCTCATACTACTAACCAATAGAAGCATTGCAATTATGTAATTCAGCCATAGTCTATGAGCATAAAACAAAAGATGTACAGGGTCAAGGACCTTCCAACATAAATCTTAGCCTGTTTCTTTGCTTCTTTGATGTTTACGGAGTTTCTTAACCATTTCCCTCTATGATTCATGGGAGAGGCAATGAAAAAGTCAAAGCATTTTGAAATAATTATTACATGTATATGGCTAGCTCCGTAAACGGGCAAGATGAGTCAAATCCTACACTGTGATTGGCTACCCGATGGGCAAGATGGAGCTATCTTGCCTGCTCAGGACTACCTGCCATGTGCCGCAAGAGAAATTTCCCCAAATGCCATATAACAAATCCTTTATTGACCAAGCTTGTTCAGCCAAGATGGCTGAATATTGACCTCATTCTTTTTTCCCCGAGTTTCTCGACCTCAACTACATCTTGGTCCATACACACACAAAAAAAGAACTTGACCAATATCCAGCCATCTTGACCTCACGCTTGGTCAATAACCTATATATCTCACCCTGGGCTGGATCTGGGAGAGCCATAATCTCGGTACTGATCAGCGATTTCTCTTCTTCTTTCTTCCCTCGCATTTTCTTCAGCTTCCTCATCTTGACTCAGTTGTTGAGCATTGGCCAAGTTGTCAACAGCGATGGCCAAGAATACATTAAGAAGAGTGTCTGGTCATGAGTTAAGGTACAAACACAACTGCTCGTAGAGCAAAGAGTTCGAACACAGTAACTTTGACAAATAGAAATTGATATTTTAAGAAACTCCCCATGATTATTGCTATGTCTCTAAGGCGGGTTTCCAGGCCATGGCTTGAGTTTCTGCTAGAAGTTTGTGTCAAGCCCACTCCAAGCTACCCCAGCAATGGGGTTCTTGTTCATTGCACGCTACACCCAGCTTTTTTGCTGGGTTTTGTTATTTGCAGGTATCTGTTTTTACACCTGGGTGGAGAGGCATAGTAGGAGTAAAGTGTCTTACCCAACCACACAAAGTAATTACTCGTCCTGGGGTTTGAACTCAAAGTCCAAACTCCATTGTACTATTAACCTATTCATTTCTTTCAAAATTTATTTCATGGGACATCCCATAGTAACAATTACAATTTCATTAGTATGACGAATTATTACTAATAACTTTAAGTGTTCTCTTTGGATACAATTTCCTAGTACAACAAGCAGCACAAAGTACAAACACCAGACTAAAGTCCAACTTTTCTCTGGATAACCTTGAGATAAGACTCCCTCATACATCACAGCATTCCAGTCTTCTCCTGTCAAGATCTACAGATGAAAACAAAACAATACAAATCATGTCCTTCTGTTGTGCATCATTCTTCTTGGGGACCTACATGTACCTTGAAAAACCCAAACCACCGCAAAATATTGAGTTATAAGCTCTGACCTTATATATGTGCAGAATGCTTTATGGTGGACTTATTTTCAGACAACTTATTATTGTGTGTGGGGTGGGGAAGGGGTGGGGAGAGAACGGGGACGAAGGAGGTTACCAGGAGGTAACTTTTATCAAATGTCTGGATATGCTGTGTGTCAAAAATGCAAGAATACTGCATACTTTACTCACAAAAAAAAATTTTGTGGACATTTAATTTTCAGACACACAATTCGGACAAATTCTGGACAAAAAATTCAGACACTTTCATGAAACATAGCTAAAGTAAATTTACACCCACAAAGACAAATTAGACTGAAACAACATCATTCTGTAAAATGATAGTTTCACTGCACCACCAAGGTTTTACAGGTACAAAGAAAAAAAGTATGAACTAACAGTTTAAAATCACAATTCTCTGAACATACTGTCTCTAACAAATAAATTACAAGCCATTAAGTATGATAGAGGACTTATCACCAAAACAAGTTGAATCTTTCTTAAACAGAAAAATCACAACCAATGGGCTTTATATTTAGGAGAGGGGTAGCACATTATTGGAAGGATTATTTCATGACGGGTTCTATCAGAATATTATGGTATTTTCATTTAATTCCGTTCCATAAAGATTCACAAAAAAAGCAACTTGCATTTTTTCAAGCTTACCTGAAAAACAGCAAGTGCAGCATTCCAAAAATTGTCAAAGTTTGTTCTAGGATTTCCATTTCTACCAGGGAGATCTCTAAACCTGAACAGTAAAAACCAATGACAATAAGTTATTTTAAGCATCAGATCATATGAAGGGACTGGTGATCATTGACAGTATCACCAATAATTAATCTTGAGCATAGTAGAATAATACAGTTGAACCTCTATTAAGTGGCCACCCCCAATTAAGTGGCCAGTTATCAAAGTCCTAAAATTATTAATTATCAGTAAAATACTGCAAATAAAACCACTATTAATCATATGCATTTACTTCCCATCATTTCAGAAGTAAACTAGGAGAAACAGGACTTGAACTTGGACTAAAGAAATCTGACAAGATTTTTTACAAAAATAGGCCATAGAAGAATCCAAACACACCATAAGAAGGACAAAGAACTTTGAAATATAATGAACTTACTCTGCTCCAAAAAGTTGCATTCCAAGCAAAGCAAAAATCACGATGAAAAGGAAGAGTAGAAACAATAAGCTCAGGATGGAGCGAACACTACTCAATAATGACGTCACCAAGTTACGCAGAGAGGACCAATACCTGCCAGAAAACAACAACAACAACAACATTTGTTTAGCCTTCCTGTTAATATCTCGATAATAAGAATAGTTACCTAACATCAGGCTTTTAGCCAGATGGGTGTCCAGGCGTCCTGTGGATGGGTACATTTTAATGAAAATTGTTTTATTTAAATTCATATGTTGCCTTATAAATTGTTCATTTGAGCAGCCCCTATAGCATATTCTGGATGTGCACTTTTCAAATCCTGACTAAAAGCCTACCTAGCATAATTTCTATTCATTGATTATTGGTACTATCCATAGATAGATGTAATACCTCACCAGTCCAGGCACAAATTCTCATGCAGTACTCAAGAATGTTTAAGGAAATTCTTCTAATACTTACACTTAAAAAGAATCGAAATTAATCCACAAAACAGCATGACACCAAACAAAGCACAGTATAAAAATAAGTACCTGGGCAGCAGTCAACTTAAGAAAAAAAATGTGACCTTGATGAGCTCTAAACCTGAGCCTGCGACATGGTCACATGATACTGGTTAGCAGATACCTTGTTTTGACAGGTGTCAATTGACCATAACATGGATGGCCAATATCAATCCATGCCACTAGCAATGTTGACCGTGAAAAAAGAGTTGTATGGTTTTCTATTTCTATGTATGCATGTGGATCTGTTCCTATAGTTATGGTGTACCGCTGGGATATTGTCATTATACAAAAATACAATTAGCAAGATTTAATGACAGAATGATGTTCTGTGGTTGCTTTTAACAACTACAATTATTTACCTTGCATTTGTTAGATATGAGAATTATTACTAGTGAACTCGGCATTGCACACCTCATTGGCTAAACATACTTTCTCATATCTAATGGTGCTTGCAGAATATTGTTCAACAAAATCATATTTCATAAAAAGAGAATACTTTACCTAGTAAATTTAAAGAGCCTCAACAATCTCAAGGCTCGAAGTACTGATATACCCAAACTTGTGCCTTCTGCTTTTGAAATGATAAGTTCAATTATGCCACAGCTTACAACCTACAAGAAATAAGAATTGCCATTCATGGGTTTACTCAACAAGCAATAATGTTCTATTTGACCAAATGTAGGGTTTTCAATAAGCGCCATAGCCTGTAGCACCTGTTATGGCTGAGCATGCTTGATGGGCCCTTATTGCTAAGGCATAAAGTTGGGCGTAGTTGAAAGTAATTCACCATAAAGTAACAAATTTGGTACAGGTGTGAAAGTCAAGGTTACAAGTAAATCAAAAAATTAATGACAGCCCTGAAATGCTAACAGTAAGAGCCAACTTTAAGCAAGTCTACAAATTTTCCTTTGAAAGACGTGCAAGCAATAATTTAAAAGACTTTAAGCTGCTTTTTCTTGTCTGTAAGGCTCTTAATGACAAAGAACCAGAATAGATATTAAACGTCTCCTCTGTCACAAGCCTAATCTGAGATTTTCACTTCATTCCTGTGATCAAGCCCTTCTATTGGTGCCAAGAGAGAAATGCACTACCCTTGGAGACCGCTCCTTTTCTCGTTCGCGTCCATTTTTATGGAACAATTTGCCCTTGGTTATACAATCAAGCTTGTCTTTGGACATTTTTAACAAATGATTGAAAACAGATCTTTTTAAAATTGCTTATGACTGTTTAGAATTTTTGTAACTCTTAGTTACATAAGCCGTTTTATATTTTTGTATTTTTAGCACATTTTATTTGTTTTATAGATCTTTGTTTTAAGTTTGTTAGCTTCTTTTTATGTAAAGCACTTTTGAATATTTCATAGTATTAGTGCTATATAAATGTATAATTATAATTATTATTATTACCAGATACATGTAAGATTCAAGTTTGTATGAAAAGTGCTCAATAAAGTTTGCTATTTTCTATTATTATTATCATTATTATTATTATTATTATTATTATTATTATTATTATTATTATTATTATTATTATCGTCCTCACGTAATGTTTGCTTAAAGTCCTTAGGACCAAGTCCAGACCATGGTCCTGGGGCACTAGGGGATAGCCAGTTTTTAGCTCGATAGCACCCTCCTTATTATTATTATTATTATTGTTATTGTTATTATTATTCTCTAGATATGGAATGCCTTACCAAACAATCAAATGTATTAAACTGGGACTTGAAGTAAAGCTGAGGACCAAGGCCATAGAGCTTCAGCATCATCTCACAAAAGAAGAAAGAGATGAACACAATCTCCGCGACATCTAATGTGATAAAAATTTGAAAGAAAATATGTACACTATTATATATGGGCTTCAATTTAAATACTTAGATTGATAAGTAAAAAATGCAACGTAAAAAGAAAACATTTACCAGAGAGAAAAATGGCAATTAAGCAATGTATCAACCAAAAAGGATTTAACAATGAGGGAAAATTTAGACATGAACTTTTTGCAAACCATCAACTTGAAAAACTATTGCTCAATTTTCCAAACTCTTTTAATCCTAGTTAGACAAGGTGGTTATCAGCAACTAGGCAAAATGATCATCGAACAACAGAAAGCGAATTAGCCATTAACACAGACTTACATCATGCAGAAAATTGTCAAAGGAACTAAAATACGAGGAACTGCTTTAGATTGTTACCTTGAAATTGTGTCAGCCATGCAGGTTGGTTATAATACTGCAGTGCAGTGATCACCGTGTTAAGAAAAACACATATAAGTACTGTCCAGTAAAATGCTTGATGCTTGACAGCTTGTCTTACACGGATTTTCCATCTTTTGTTTCTCCTAAGAAATCTTTGGCAGAAACTCTTCCTGTTGAGAGCAAAATAACAATATTACGGTGGTCATTATGTGTCTGAGGAAATTCACATTAGTTGCAGGTGCATATATTTATAAAATAATTAAGATAATAATTGTGCTTTCATTGGTCGAACAGATGTGTTCAGATGAGAGTATGTAAACACAGTAAAATGAGAAATATTTTACAAAAGAAACAGAGGACTTTTTTCCATGTCATCTACATGTAAGCACTTGGGGGATTGGGAGAATTCTCGAAAGTTATGTCTTAAGACTGTACATGTATGAACAAGTTGAAAAAATCCTTTATTATTGCTTAAATGTTGCGGTTTAATATTAGCCTTCGTACAATTTGGTATAATTGTCCATTGTTTCATATATATGATAAATACATTATCATAATGGTAACCATGCATACGCCAGAACAAAGGAAATACCAAATTGTACCGAGGGTTAAATTGAACCACAACTTATAAGTACGTATTTTAGTAAATACAAAGTTAAATAAATAATAACCTATTATCAGGTGCTCAGAATTTCTCAGCCAAAAGTAATGTATAATTATGTTAAGCTTAATAGATATATCTAAAAGATATTATATATTTTATGGAGAATAAGCCATGACAAAAGCCATGCTGAAGATGATGCTTAGTAAAAGCATGACCGTTTGACCTTACAGTACTTTCTAATATTTTCAGCAAATCGGTCAGTCTTAAATCTAGCTAAAAAAAAATTTAATATGTAAAAACAGCATTGAATTCAAAATGAGATTTAATTTCAGAAACATTAATATCAAGCACACTAACTTTTTTCCTGTGTTCAGTCTATGCCTTCTTCCAGATTGTCCTGTAAGTACAACAGATGTCATGGCAACATCTCCATCTTCTACCCGATCAAGATTTCTTCTTCTTGACACGTCCACATTTCCGTCTTCCTCTTCTTCTTCTTCCAACATTAGATCCTCTGTTAAAAGTATTGATGGAAAAAAAAATCCTCACTTAGACAACCAGTGAGAGAAACAAATGTAGCTCACTTGTCTCAAGGGAGAGGAACAAAATACCCTTACCAGCTTTACTTATCCAATCTATATAACCATGTAAGTGTCGCTCCATTTTTTGTGTTCTTCTTACTTTCAGGAATGCTCTTCGGTTCTCCACTCTTTCTCTCTCTTTTGCAAATTCACTGGTGAACAGCAACAATGAAATATAAGACATTTAGCTGATCGCTTTACTTCTGCTAAAAATAACATTAGATTAATTTCCACCATAACCCACGGCACCTGCTATGGCTGAGTATGCTTAATTTTTCCTTGATGTTATGGGGGAAATTGCCGAATGTTGATAGAACTCACCCACAAAGTAACAAGTTTGCTACGGGTGTGTAGAACAAGGGAACAGGTGACTCAAAACATAATGACAGCCCTGAAAAATGAGCACAAATATTTGCCTGGCTTATTCCCATTCCAAGAAGCAGTTTATTGAAAAGTTGAACAGGCGATGTCCAAGGAAAATATCCATGCAAAAATTAAAAACCAGATGGCACATGCAGACAGACCCTTGTGAGTTTTTGACTCCTTCAAACATTTTCACTGAAGCCCTAGCTTGTAATCTGTGAGATATTTGCCAGGACATCAAACATCCAAACAACTGTTGTTGTTAAAAAACCGTCAAAAAATTTGGTTACAGAATTGAATCAGAACAATTGGAACACTAACACTGTGAAATCAGAATGCTCAACTGCAACCAATAACGGTTGTAAACCGTCCCCTTAAACATGCATTGACACCATTTACAATTTACAATGACATAAATGAACCAGCTGTGGAATGGGGAAAGTGGAAGTACAACAGGTCAGTAGAAATCAGTGAGCCCGACCAAATCATCAGAAGTTTCCCATCAATTTCCTGTAAGGTTTCCAGCCTTGTTCAAATGGTTTTTAATCTGAGTTTGATTGATTTATTGAGATCTCTCTTATGTCTGGAACACTGTCTTTGCATGCTTGCCCTCTTATTCAACACTCAAATGATATCCCGATCAACACTTGATCATCATCTCGATCGATCCTTGGTCGACACTAGGTCAACAGTAGATCGACATCTTGATTGACACCCAATGGACACTTGATCATGACAAATGTTGGTCGATATATGGCCAAGTGTTGACTGACTCACTGAATTGATCGACAATTTATAAATTAAATTTAGTCAACTCTCGACTGATGTTCGACTGAGATGTCGACCGAGTGTTGATCAAATGTCAATCAAGTGTCAACCGACGTGTCAACTGAGTATTGATCAAGTGCTGATCGAGGGTATCTACCAAGGGTATGGATTGACACTCGACTGTGGATGCCTTTAGTACACATGATCAGGAGAAAACTGACTTTAGAAATACTTACCCACTAAGAACACCAAGAACCAAGTTGAGCATAAAGAATGATCCTATTACAACAAGCGAATAATAATATATCCAAAATACATAACCATGGGCATCGTAGGCATCAAACGTCTGTGGAAAAATAAACATCATCATCAAAGTTAGCAATTAATTTTGCAAAATAACAAAACCAGTCAAAACACAGCATCATTGGCTGCCAAAATTTAATTGTTACATATAACTAAATGTGCTAGGGAACCTTTTTTACTAGTTGAAATTCAACCAAACATCAAATCTTTTCTGATGCTGTGACTGATGGTATAAGCATAGATTTCTATCAGGTGTTTATTTCATGAATCTAGCTATAACTGCACCAGTAAAATTGTGATTGCATCTTGGGCATTTTGAGTATCATATAATAATACTACGAGCCTGTTAATTCTAATTTACTGTGGTTAGATTGAAGGATAACAAAAACCTGTTTCACCATAGGATAAAACACAGCAAAATTTTTATCACATATAAATCTAGATCATTATTTTAATCTTAGGATAGAAAACAAAACCAATAAAACCATTTGTGTTATACTGTGAGTCATAAACACTTTGTACTTTGAAAACAATTCGGAAATTTAGACAGCATTTGCCTATGACTTGCATTTTCTAAATTCTTTCAGTCTTCTTATATCCACATATTTTATAATCAATCAATCAATCAATCAATCTTTATTTGTACTCAGTCTTGCTAAAGAAAAATTACAATTTCAATGAAAATATTACAAGTAAAAATTAGAGTACTAGCTGCCTGGAATACCCATAGGGGCTAGTGGAGCCAGGCAGCCATAAGCCATAACAGTATAAGCTATTTGTGGCTTTGGCATTGAGCTTTTTTAAATGAATAAGTTTAGAGTAAAACACATATACATACCCAATACATGATGTCTGTCCAGCCCTCATTAGTAATAACTTGAAATACTGTCAGCATTCCAGCAAATATATTGTCAAATGACGTGATTCCATCGTTTGGCCCTTCCCAGTTCTTCAGGCAAAACTGGCCTTCTGGACAACGGGTTCCTGTGCCTTTGGCAACACATATTTGAGGACCATCTGGATCTGTGATTTCCATGCGACCTAGGAAATCAAAATTTCATTTGACAATTTCAGGAATGACTTTATTAAAAAAATTGTCACATAATGCATACTTTAATTGAATTCAAGAACCGCTTGGGTGTTTTGTGTGAAACTGAGGAAATATCAGGGTTAAGAAAAATTCACTTCCAGCTTGCCCAACAGGAAAGTCTACATGTCCCAGACAACCAGCCAGACTGCACTTTTTTCAAGCCCTGAATGTTATTTAAATTATAAATTTAAGTCTGTGTTCAGATCATAGGTTATCCTGGAGGGGAGGAGAACCTTATTTGAAATTACTCAAGGTTCTAGAAATATGGCTTGTTAGAGAGGATGGCTTAATAGAGAGCTTTTATTATTTAATGAGAAAAAGTACCATACTTACCTGTCACATTTTGGTTGCACACATAGTGAAATCTTCCAACAAGAAATTCTAATCCTATGATTGCGTAAATTATGATTACAAATCCTACGAGCAAACAAATTTGCAGAAGAGGCACCATGGCGCACATGATGGACTTCATAACTACTTGAAGACCTTTTTAGAAAAAGAAACAAAACATGATCAGTTAATATGTTAACAATGGCAGAAGGTAACGGAGCCAAAATTCCCATTCTCAGAATGCTGCTCAACCATTCCAAAATGGTTTTATTACATCTAAATTTGGCCAATAAATCCTATCACATCAGTTTTAATGACTTTATAGCAGATTACTGTACCCAAATATGCAATTAGCCAGTCAGAAGCCATGACTACTGTCCTGATATCTTAGGATATCAAGTCACTGACCTGATATGGCTATGATATCGTGGTCACTTGGCCGAATTTGGGTAGGTTAATACCTAATTGTACCCTTTTTGGTAAGCTTCTGTTGCATAACAGGCTCGTTTGGCCTCACCATGGGTATTTTGGGTGGGCTATTTCTCACCAAAAATACGAACCATGGCTCGACTGATGTGCGGCCAAGGCGTAACAAAAAGTACGATTAGGTATAAATATCATAATACCAGGGGAGATTGGTTGAACCATGGCCTGCATTTTGGTGAAATCCATTTTGAACCAAACATACCTCATATGTCTCTAAAGTTTACCAAAGGGGTACGATTTGGCAAATTAGGACAAGAATCAGGCATGTTAGGTCAGTGATTTGATATCACAGTATTCCTGTGCCCTTTGTCTGTTTTCCTCAACATTTAGTGCACCCTTCACGTATAATTTGCAGCCGAAAAAGCCTGCTTTGAGGCTGGATGGATAAGTGTGTTCTGATTGGGCATTTCATAGGCTGGCCGCGAAAACAAACGGGAGGTCAAATTCTAAAAATAGAAAGATACGGGAAAGGGTTGACTCCAACAGTTAGTATGGGAGATGGGGGCGCCTTGTCATGGGCTCCTTGCAAAGCCCTTTCTGGTACAGTAAACTTTAATCACTATACTTATTTTTCAGATATGGTAGTAAGCTTTCACCTGTTGACACTTAACGCACACCTTAGAGTTTTGGGTTAAAAATGATCATTGAGTTTTTTTTTTAATCAGTAAACAAATCTGCCAAGCCGCTTGCATCCACGTCGAATGTGCCATTAAACATTTATACCATGAGCTAACTCAACCAATACCTATTTAGTAAAATAAGACTTCAGTCTATTAAAGGATTATAAGGAGGCGGATAAGGACCGTAACTGACCTCGCACAACGAGTCAAACACCAAATTCTGGAAGAGTCATCGGTGAAGTGTGGAACAAGAAAATGGGAATCGATAGAACAAACTAACGGTATTGTTATCACTGACGTTCGGCAACGTTTTTCTATTTCAAAGGTCAATAACTGACAAATTCCAACAAATTCTTTCCAGCCGAAATCCATCTCTCCGCCATTTTCGGTGACCGCCATTTTTGCCGCCATTTTGAAGTCTATTGGGAATCTCCGCTGTTCAAATTTTAACGTGGTCTCGGACTAGCTCCAGGGTGTCGCAGTGTCTCATTCCTTCACGGTGGATGCGTGCGAAGGACCTAAGGAATTTCATTATTTAACTTGTTTGGCCTCGTTTATTCTTCCTCGAACTGCCAACCCAAACTGTGGACCGAATTTCTTCACCGAAACTGGAAAAAGTATGTCGAAGGTTGGGAAAAAGCGACAAGAGCCCGCGGCATGAGCCATCGTGAATGATCGGTGAGTAATCCATGTTGCTCATTTCGGTGTATTCAATCCCCAGAATCGATCAAATGAGGCTAACAATTTGATGGACACAATGTCCTTTGTACTTCAAAGAATTGATAAACTTCTTGATATAGTAGTTTACCTTCACTTCATTACCTTTGTGATTACAAACGTCGTAAAATTTCACGTCACGGTTGTAAACACAAACAATAGGTAAACTGAAGGCCAATATTTTTACCGCCCTTCGTGGCGATTGACATTTCATACCCTCGTTTTATTGCGTACGACCGAAAAATGTGTTTCAAGAGCATTTGGTGGACAGGGAAAAGAATCCGCTGCTGGCCGTTCAAGAAATTTGCATTTTATCAGCTGTTTGACATGTAACCATCGGGGCACCTAACAAATGAATTGTACGGTCACTACATGTACATCGCTCCAAGTGAGTTCGCTCCACGAGACGAGACAAGTTTCGCTCCACAGAAAAAATTTCGAAAAGTAACGTTCCATACAAAAGTGACATCGCTCCATGTAGGAAATTACAGAAACATTTGTGCAAACCTTGTTCAGATTTAGTACAGCTTCGATCCCAAGTCGATCCCAGCTCCACTGGTTACCTGTTTGCTACCGTATAATTTTTAAAATTCTCCTACTGGTCTACAAAGCTCTCAATGGAACAGCGTCTTACTACATCAGTGAATTACTTAAGTACAACACCTCTCAACGGAAANTAAGATCCAGTAGTTCGATTGACATTTTTAAACGGCATTTAAAAACATATCTTTTTAAACAAGCTTTTTAACTCTTTTAATTTTTAGATTATTTTTTATTATTATTTTTTCCCCTCCCCTTTTTTAGCTTTTTAAATATATATTTTTTTATTTAATGTAAAGCGCCATGGACAAATAGTGGATTGGTGCTATATAAATACTTTATTATTATTATTATTATTTTACATTGCACTTACATTATTACTGGGTTGTGCTTTAACACCCGAGACCCATTAAGTGTGAGCATCAATTGTTCTAGTTCTTTCACAATATGGAACCAAGGGTATGTTGCTCCTACCAAGGCCATTTGTCATGCTTAAATAAAGGCTGGTTGTCTGTCTGTCTGTCTGTTGGTCAGTTGGTTGGTCTGTCTGTCTGTCAGTCAGTTGGTTGGTCCGTCTGTCACTAACTTTGCCCTCAATAAGTTTGCCTACCATGTTGGTAAACTTGATCATATGTACAGTAACAGTAGCCAGAGCAAGTTTTGACTTACTTGGAATGCCTGACACTAACTTTAATGGCCTGAGCACTCTTGCAGCTCTTAGAGCTTTCAAACTTCCAGCATTGAAGACGTTGAGTTGTGGCAAGCTCAGAAGGCTGCAATTTGATCACAAAATGTTTTGAGTACTTATTGCAATTCCCTAGCCCTAAGATATGCTACATTCTCAGTCATAAGCATGACACCACAAGAGACCAGAAGAACAAGTTTTCTGAGAGTAAATAGTCAACCTGGTTGTGCATTATTGATTGCAGGGCTCATAGGAAATAAGGGTGATTACTATGAAGTTGTTTAATTAGTAGACACTCTAATGGATTGCAGTCAAAAACCAGCAATTTAATGTATTTTTAATCCAAAAATCAAGAATGTTTATTTTCCCTTTTAATAGCATCACTTGTTTGATCATGTTCTACTATGATTATCAGTTGAGTAAGGCTTACCAAAAAAGTTTGGTGGCCAGTTTTTAATGTTAAACTGGTGTTGTGGTCATGGGCAGCTGGCTCTGTATTCAGAGGCAACTTGTCAGCCTTTGATGTCATTGGCAGCAAAGAGCATGAAATTGCAGGCAATGATAAATTGTTACCACAACTGGAAATGAGGAAAGTTGCCTGAGGCAACACCATAATTTTAAGTCTAAAACTTTGTCACCAAAACTCAGCCGTACCTTGCTCAACTGATAATTGTAGCATCAGTGATACTTGCTGATTATCAACTTGAAGGTGATAAATGTAAAGTGACTGCTGTAGCAAATTTGGGAAAAGCTGACATATTGCCAAGCATTAGTCCTTCATTGGAGCAAAATCAGTTGATAGAAAGTTATTATGAGAACCATTCAGAATCACAGATTTCCAATAAAGACAAGGAGTGTCTCCTAACAAAAATCAAAATTTGACATATTTCCAGATAGGCAAACAGGTTGTGGAACCCAGGTGGTAATTAAGAACAGAGTCTTTATTTGAACATGTAAGGGTTCCTGCTTGGTGTAGCAGACACAGTACACATCACAATAGAACACTGCCCTGCAAGCCCATTGTTTTCATTGTTTTCCTCACTCTTTTGTCCTTTTGTTCTCTATTGTTTTACATCATCTGTGTCTTAAACACCAAGGAAGAGCCCATATAAGTGTAGGTTAACATGAACTTAGAACTCAACAACGTTAGATGGAGAATCCTGGATCCACATTGCAAAATTTGGACCACCCAGGGAAACAATCAAAATTCTCCTTTTCATCTAGGACCAGCTTGCCATATAATAAAGTGCAGTATTTATATTCTTCTTAGGTCCACAAAACTGTCACAGCCCCTGAACCTGTGATTTCCTCACATTTAAAAGGTATGTGCTGTAGTAAAATTATCTACATTTGTACCAATTATTTTAATGACCATTTCAGTTGAACAAGTACTGGGAAGTTTAAAATCTCTTTCTAATACACACCTGGAATCTACCTAACACAACTTTGTAAGTAAAGGAAATTAACTTTTAAACAAATTGATGTCATGATACAGTGGAACTCTGCCTTACCACCACCCCATTAATACAGTCACCTTGTTATTTTGGCCATTTTATTCTGGCCTACACAAAAACTCAGTCAGTCATTTTCTTATTTAAAGAACCTTTTGATATGCCCCCCGTACCCCCGCCCTTTAATATGGCCAGAATTTTGTGGCCATTGGTGACTGAATTAACAGGGCCCCACTGAATAAATAACTCAAGATGCCTACTAGTGTGCTTGAAAATTGGTGTCATTAAAAAGGGAGCGCTAATTTGCCTTTTATTTTTTTTACAAAAAATGGTTCCTTTTTTTTTCACAAAAAAGGACCATTACCAAAAATAAAAAATGAATTTAGAAAATTAAAAATGTAAAAATTTTGTCCACTGTTTATTAGTGACTGTCATTAAATATTTAACTGACACAAAAAACATTTTGGTTAGGAGCCTTTCATAGTATACAGAAATGGAAAATTATTTCTTTTTGTTTACTTCTCAGTCATACAAAAATGCGATAATATGTATTTGTGGTTAGTTACTGTACAACAATGTATGTACATGCGGTTGTTTTTTTCTGTTTTGTTTGTATAGCTCTTAATAGTAGCCTTTTACACATATTTGCAGGCTTTTAGCCAGACAGGCATGTAGGAATCCTGTGGATGGCCACTTAAAGAAAATTGTTTTATTTTCATATGCAGCACATTTTTCATCTTCAGCATATTTCTACGGCACATTTTGGATGCCCATGTTTCAAATCCTGGCTATAGCCTACATATTTGTAAGGTGGTTGAAACCTTTTAAGTGTAAACTACATTGATTCTTGATTCTTTTTGGGGAATAACAATTCTAGACCATATCATTTGCATTGGGGCCTTTGTTCTTGACTGGCTTTGAAATAGCAAAGAGAGGAAATGTGAAATGAATTAAGTTTTAGATTTGAAAGGGTGTCAAGTTGTCCCTTTTATAGGAATGTCACATGACTATGCATACTTGTTACGTACATGAAAATTGATTATTACGTAGTTAATGTCTGTAACTTTGGATATGTTCTCTATAGCTACAATCAAATAATTTTAGTTTGGCTTTGCTCCATTCATGTGCTGACATTGACTGGCATTTAACAGATCAGTGATAATATGCATAATATTTGCATACAGTAAATTAGATATAAGGCTTAAAAGGCTCTTAAAAGTGTCAAATATTCTCTGGTAATCTAAACGTTTCGGGCTTACCAGTAGCCCTTCTTCAGGAGGTGGAAGAAGGGCTAAGCCCGAAACATTTAGATGACCAGAGAATATTTGACACTTTTAAGAGCCTTTTGAGCCTTATATCTAATTTATCTGCAGTGTCACACATCTTATGAGTTTTTTGCTCATTTGTACTGAATTTGCATACAGTAGTCAACCTCAGAATAAAAAAAATTTAACTTGTGATTTGTTATGATTGTGTTACCAGGGTGGCGGTTGCAAAGAAAACCAATGTTTAGGCTGGCCCTTCGGGCAAGTTGTAACCATGATGTACTAGCTTGAAAGTCATTTTCACTAGCTCCAAACAATTTCATCTCTTACAGGACTTCAATCTGCAATTTGAATTCTGTTTGAAAACTTTTTTTAGCCCATTAGACAAGTGAAGGATGGACTCCACTATCCTGACTGCAAAATTCACTTGCCCCAGGCTAGCAGACACGACTGTCTTTGCATGCTGGTTATCTGCTATAGTTTGGTGTCATTTTCTGTGCTTTTCTTTGGCTAAAGTCATGTGAATAATATGATTACGTTTCCTCTTTATTGAGCAACTTTCAGTGATGAGGAAAAAATCACTTGAATTGCCAATTTTGATGGTGTGGGATGTGTAAGTAATAATACTTGTCTTCAATCCAGAAACTATTGATTAGCATTTTTGCTGTGGTCATCCATTCTTTTCCAGTATAAATGATTAGGAAAAAGGCCAATTCTTTGCTGTATGCCTTTTCTTTTTTTTTTCGTTACATATTTGCCACAAAGAACGATGCAATATCATGATAATAATTAGTATAATTTTCAAAGAAAACACTAAGTTACATTTTAAGTGACTAAATGTACAAGGCATTTAATTATGTTCATTTAAGTGTTGTTTTTTCCTACAATAATTATAGCAGTGTGCATTGCCAACTTAACTGTGTGTCACCATGACAACTTGCACTCGAAAAATAGCCTCTGGTTTGCTTGCTTTTAATAATTATATATACTGAAACAGCAGTGAAAAAATTCTGCTCGTAAGGATCTAGTAAACTGTGTTAGCTAGCGTTGTTCCTACTTTATCAAGACATCTTGATTCGACTTCTAAAAGAACATAGATTCTAATTTTTCCAATTATGCCGTGAAGTTAAGTTTCCAACTAAGCAGAAATGAACAAAGTGTAAGCAGAACTCAAACTACAAATTTGCATTAACATACATCCATTTATGTAAACATAAATGTCAATAACTTTATAATTGCAACTTCAACTGACATTTTCCACTAGAACGTACAATACAGATTGATTGTAAGGTTGATTAATCAATGCTTCATTCCTGTTGAAAGCCGTTCTTCACCTTTAGAAAGATATCAAAACTGCACTTTCAATCAGGCTGAGAATATTTTAAAGAATTGCACGATAAGCTTATTTTGCTTCAACGAATTAAGGCAATAGTTCATAAGTTCAACAAACTGAGAAATGTTCAAGTAAATATAAACCCTCTAATATGGATTTCTTTGATGATTCTGAAAGTCTTTGCTGTGAAACGATTTTGCAAAACCTGTCAATTACTCAAACGATGGCATGAAAGTTAAACCACCTTGATGTGTTCACCATCATTATTCAGTGAAACAATTACATCCTCGACCTTGTTAGCATTTTCCTTTGTACGAAAAACTAACAATTACTGTTTGTTTATCCTATTTTCCTTAACCTCAGTTCTAAGCATTTATATTCAAACGAGAAAAAGCCAGTGTCTTTGTCATGGGTCTTAGTATGAAGATGTGACAGATTTACATAAAATAGTTTTGTAATGTAAATATACAGAAACAGGCTGCTTTAGAACTGTCTTCTTGTCAATAATAAATCAGTATTCGCACTTGGTTTAAATTGTTTGCGGTGAATTGCGACAGAAATTCTTCGTTTAGCGATAAAATGGCAGTTTTTTTGGTTTCCCTAGGAGCTTTTGACAGGTGTAGTGCAAAAACTGTGCCTGGCGAGCGCCGCGCCGCTCTTAATAATTTATCACCCATTCTGTCAACAATTGGTTTTAAAGCGAGGGAACTGCGGAACTTGAAGTATTTGGTCGCAGGACCGGCCATATAACTTTGCCTTTTGGGTTATAAAGTAAATTTCAATTAACATTTCACGCTCGATTGCCTGCTTAAACGACAAATAAAAATTGCAACGACCAAAGTTCGTTTCCTTCGAAAGTATCTATTGTGGAAGTGATAATGTTGAACGTTGTTTTAATGCAGCTTTCGAAAATGTTTTATTTACTTCGAGAAAGTTTCAAAACTAGCGGGTTGTTTGTACTTAAACCCTTTTTTCACTTCTCTAGTCTTCTACAACACGCTTGTTACCATAGATACCACGTGAGAAATTTTATTTGGCGGAATTATTTTCTTATGACTCAGTTTTTTTGTGCGTAGGCGCGGAGTTGTGTTATGCAAGGCATATTAAGCCGCGGTACCTGCAAAGGAACATTGCCGGGAAAAGAACCTGTTTTTCGCGGGAATTGCTACAGCTGGTAGCCAGACGAGCGGAGTAATGCATTTTGTTGCGTAGAGCTGGATAACTAAACTCGAACTTGCATCGTCACTTATTTTTCGAGTTTTATTTTAATCGTGTGGAGTAGCTGCTTACTTTGTACTGATATTACTGTTTAATTGAGGGTTTCCTCAATACTCGTACTCGGTCGCTTATGTAGACGTGATTTAGCCATCGATTTCTATTTTGAGAATACAGCAAGTTTTAGGTGTAATAGATGTACTAGCACTTGTGTTTTGACTTTTTATATAACATGGCTATTTACTCTAGCGACGTTAAATAATTGAACACCGGCGAGTTTTGGCGTGGAGGAATTGTGTGCAATGCGGGAATGCCCGACTAACTCCGACTCTAAGAAAATACTCTGTTTGACAATCATAGCGAATTGGGTAATTAAAGAAAGTGTCGGTTTTATTGTTGATGCGCTTGAAGTAGTATCTAGGATCGCGTGAAGAATTGATATAACGAAATTCGTCACCCGGCAGGGCGAACGGTGAAGCGATAATCGGCTAATGGAAATACAATTTCCTCCTCTACAAGTTGCCTGACTTGGACAATCAGCTTTCAGAAGAATAAAAGCAACTTTTTACAAGAATCATGCCATGAGGTCGTCTGCAGTTCACAGTCGGGATATGCGTGACTAGTGACTAGTGTTGCTTTTTGTCTCCGTGTTTCGGTTGAGCGAGTTTCGCATACACGTTCACTAAGGTTCTCGTGTTTTGCGTTTCGTTAACTGGCGCAGCTTTGGCACAGTCGAAAGTGACGTAAACACTCGGGCAGTGTGAACTAGACTCAATATCGCTCGGTTTAGCATGTTTGGTTGTCATGTTTATAGCTGGTGTAATTGCCCAATGCTATGCTTAGTCGTCAAGCGGTAGACATTTCCGTGCGTTTCGCTGCCGTTAACACGCCGTGTACATTTCAAGCTGACTCGTTTAGCGAAACTAGATCGATTGTGGCCTAACGAACTCACAATCAGATACATGTCGTAAACTTGCCCTGCGACATTTTTGGTAAGGGAGTGAAAGCTTGTTTAAATATTGAAATTTACGAGTGAAAATTACAACGACATACATGGTTGAATAAAGAGCGCAGGCATTATACTGCATAAATATACACACACATGTATACTGTATACATACTTACCCTGTTACAACCACCACGAAATCCAAAACGTTCCATCCGTTCCGAAGGTACGAGTCGGCGTGTAGTACAAATCCAAGAGCTATAATTTTTAATACGGCTTCTAGGCAGAATATTGCTAATAAATATACTTCGGCATCTTCCTAGGAAAAAGCAGGAACAATAACAAGTGTGAGAGAGTGATTCACTTTCGTCCAAGCAAGTGTAGTAAGGACGACCGCAGAACGATCCTGCGTTCAGCGTCGCTCTGTGTTTCAGAAATCTCCAAGTTTCTACTTACTAGTTTTTGGTTCAGATCGGACTTGTCGTTGTTCGGCAGCGGAGTATTTGCGGCGAGTAGGATGCAATTGACAAAGATGGTCAATAAAATGAAATATTCAAAAGGCTTGTCTTCAGTTAAGGAATATATGATACGAACACAAACGCACATATACGTAAAACTAAAAAATAAAATCTCACAGGAACACGCCACTGAAACAGCACAAATTGACCAGGAAAATTTAACCAAGACTTCACAACGTTACACACTGACAAGGGTCCTCAGCACGCACGCTCAACTGCGGCGGTAGACGACAACAAACTCACAGACAACGCCAAACCAGAGAGAACATTTTGTACAAAGACGTTTCGCTCGCATCAAAGGATACTTTACTCTCGACGATCGTACGGCATATTTTTCTAATAAAATTTTCCTTCGAGAAAATGAAGAGCGATCGGTCCGCACAGACGATCTGTGATGTTTCGGTACCAGCTTGCATCGAAGACTTGCGCGAAATATTACTTGAGTTGGCCATACGCGTTTTATAAAAGTCCTCTGAAGGCACCGAGGACGGCCTTCGATTGTCCGCCATTTTTCGTGATTTGAGCTGTTTTCAAGCCACATTCAGCCGCGATCTCGGGCTATAGATGACTGGCGTCGCGCGCTGGCGAACGCGAAAGTTCGTTTCCAGCCATGGAATTAACCGCCTTGAAGCGATTCAATCATACAGGTTTTTGGGCTTCCTTCTTGCCTTGACACCGTATGCTAATTACAAGCCGAGTCTATAATCAAGTGGCCTATCAAATGAGACCGACACTGGCGGGTCACGTGATTTCGACTGGTACTGGTTTGGGTGTGAAATGACAAAAAACGCACTCACTGCAATCTCACCCATTACACCTGCTACTGCTGCCCAAATCTCTGCCAACAACCAAATGTTCGTAGCGGCAGCCACCAAAACGCTTTGTTTTGGTTCGTTTAGGCGACCTAACAAGCTTTATAATCGTGTGAATTCTGCTTGTATGTTCCCGTAAAATGACATCCCGCACTCCTCGAGGTGGGCGGAATGTCAAGGAAAATTCACTCACGTTTCCTCTCGTTTTTTTTGTTTTTTTTTTTTGGCACACTGTCACCCCCTCCGAAATAAATTGCTTTTGTTTAAGTACTTCGCGTTAAAGAGGAATAAACTTACCGTCACGTGTATTTACATCGGTAATTGTTTCGGTTTGAACACAGAGGTTTTTAATAATCCTACGTGAATCGTTTGCATGTCTCGTTCTGTGGAAATTTTTTTGTAATCCTAAGTCGGCTTTTGTGCAATACCGTTGCGAATTCGTGGACGTAAAATAACAATTACTACAAGCATAATACCCGCGGGTTTCATCGATTCATTGCCAACCTGATGATGGGATTTCTTTTTTTTTTCTTCAGGGCAGACTCTCCGAGTAATTACGGTGTAACGATTTAAGGGCTTTTGTTGGATACTTATCCCAGATCTCTACAAGCTTTGTTAGTTTAGGCTCGAGTAGGGTAGGTCGTTAAAGAGTATGCTACTCACACAAACTTAAAAAAACATCAACAAGTCGCTTGATTCTTAATTCGCCCTCATTACACTTGGAAGGCAGGTGATGCGGCGGTAACTACACACTAGCGTCCACTTTCGCAATACCTGAACTTATAGGAATGTCTTATTTGGGCACTGATAGCTTGAAACCATTGGGATAACGGGAAAAAAAATCTGAGCCTCAAAATTCTCAATGCATCCACTGAAATGTTTTCTTCGACTTAACAGAGTGAAGCGTCTCTCGAACTTTTGCAATATTTATGTCGTCACAACACGATAAGGCTTGGTTGTTTTAATCGAATTATTTTGAAAATCCTGAAGACTGTCTAGCGCCTTCGTTGAATTAACCGACTTTTGGTCGACGCGCGCTAGTTTTTCGTCAAAAAAAAAAACCCTTGTCGGGTTTGAAATCAATTGCCGAGTTTGCGTTAGGATGTCTTACTTTTAATTCATCTCTCTCTTGTCTTGTTTTAATTTAACCGATATGAATTATGAATACGTTTCTTGACAGCTGTTGCCTCGTCAAGTTGAAGGCGAGATTCTTTCACCTTCTTTGCGCGTCTACTTCCGAATGCTCTCAGCACAAGTCTTGTCGAAGAAAGAATACCGGATATTAAATTACACACTTTCTTGTTCCTTTGTATTACTCCAATCCAAACTCGACACAATGGCCGTTTATCAGTAGGCGACGCAGAAGAAAGAAATTCCAGCTAACCGCTGAGCAAAACAAAAATACACTGCCGCCGGCTTGAGTTTTGAATAAGCAGCGCCTCGAGCATGTTGCTTCTTACGCGCTGTGATTGTCGCGCCACCATTATATAGCTGTAGTTCCTGAAAAGCGGTTTTTTCAACATAACAACCTTGTTAAAAATTTCAATAGATACCGTTGTGCTCTTACTCGAGTCTGTCATGCTCTCGATTTTATTACGCGTCGGGAATTCTATTTCAGGAGTAATGTGGTATTTAATGTGAAAAAAATTGTCAAATGTTTCTTCGGTTGTCTGGCTATTAAACACTCGTGAGTCAGCTCTTCATTCTTTTCGTCATATAGCACTCCATAACACTTAGGCTTTTTGGTGAAGAAAAAATAAAAGGATGTTTCGACGCTGGTTCATTTCTGACCTGTTCCTTCCTCCCGACTCCGTTTTATTTTTTACTTATTCTTTTATAAGCTAGAATTTTTGATATTAAATGGTTATTGAAAGAACTGGCCTAGAGACGGATGCGTAACAGTCAAAATCGGAATGTTTGATTTAGGAGGTCAGTTTTAAACGGCAGCGGTTTGCTTGAATCTGCTTTTTTCAATTTTGATTTGTTCACTGCTGTGAAGGAATTTCTTTTGCATTTTCTTTGCGATTGGCTCTGAATAAATAAAATAAACAAATGTAGGTTTTTACGTCCTTCCAAAACTAAAACATGCACGATTAAATGAACAAGCCACCACAACCAAGATATTAGAAGTGTTCAGCGTTCCGTTCAAAATCACTCGACATCAGACGAATTACGGGGAATAATCTAGAACTGACCCGAGGCAAATTATTGTTATAACGTCGGGTATTCATAATTAAGAAATTTCTTGAGCAGGGGTAAGCTTACTGGTTGAAATGATCAAGATTGGCGACAATGACGGAAACAAATGGAGAAGTTTCTAGTGAATTCTTGCGGTCGTAAACTTTAGTTGAGTTTATTTTCATTTTATGCGGGAAACACGTTCGGTTGCGGTCATAGTATCATCTCTTACATCAGTAAAACGTGCTCCTGGTGCTCTCAACTAGAAGTTTTTGTTGTTTCGCATACGATACAAAGACAAGTGTTTCCTTTCCCGTACTCGAACCTGGGTCAATATTTGAAGACAAAGTTGCTCTAGCAGGGCTACTGAGCTTTGCAAACCTGTGCGTAAAAATATAACTTACGTGACGGTGACGATGCTCTGAACGTGAGGCCATTGCGGTGGTTTTCTTCGTAAAAAAGAAACGATTTTCAGTACGAGGTATGCGTATTGAAATATTTCAATCTTCTAAGAGAGTATTAAGAGCTAAAGTGAGTTTCAAAGAATCGTTTTACAGCAAACATTAGGGAGTTCATCCATACAGATTTCAAACCGTCACTAGATGGTCGAGAAGTAGTGCGGCTACAAATTAGAGAATGTTGAATCCGAAAAGAGCGGTATGTGTACCTGTTGCCTAATTAAACATTTGTAACATTTATTGAAATATAAAGTGATACGTTGTTCTGGGTACATTGACCAGAGATTAAAAGAAATAGGAAACTTCTGGTAGATTTTATCCTCCAAAAGATCTCAAATCTACTGTCATGCACATGTTGCAAGAAATCATGGTGAGGCAAAAGAGGAAAATTTAGCGCAACATCAACGAAGAATGCCGAAGTAGCGCAGCGTCACCTTTGTAGATCTTTTTCACCCTCGAGTTATTGCTTTCCTTGGGTAGTTTCACTTTGCATTTTTAATTTGCCTTCATTAACTGGTTAAGGTGTCGTGGCTCGTTTCGGAGGCTTAGTATTGCGCAATAAGGAATTTGGCAGTCAAATGTGAAGGCTGTCTTCAAGGTGCCTTTCAGCAGGCGATTTGAACGTGCCCTCGCTTTGTATGTAGAATGGTCGCTCACAGCAGGTATTGATTGTTTATTGAAGCAGGTGGCCAGAGGATTATGTGCTTGGTTTATCCAAAATTAATTGCCATCTTAGTGGTTGTATTTGTGCTTCTCCTTCTATACTTGCAGTCAGTTTGTCTCATACTGATAATCTCAATCTGGCGGTGTCTTTTAAGAATCGTGACATCAAAGAAAATAGGAACGGAAAATATCGAATCCCTTTCTTGGAGAACCTGTCGTAAATTACAGTCTGTCATCTTAAATTGTAGGCGTTTAATTAGAGCCGCTTTTTTATTCATATTTTTCTTTATTGTCGGCTCGAATTGTCTGCATCTTTGATCACTTCACTGTCAGGTTTCATTAAACTGCATCGTTCATCATCCTACTTGTTCCAACGTTGAAACACGCAAACAATAAAACATTCTCATTTTCGCTTTAACCTCGCAACAGTCCATTCTTTCTTCTTGTTGCTCTTAGCTTAGCCATCTTTATCATCTTTCAAATGAATTCTGCTACCTTAACCTTGATTGCTTGGATAATCATATCTATAGAACCATATCAATGACAGGCTTTCTTGCAATCGGATTGGATAATGACACACGTTGTTTGCCAGTTAGAGCATGAGCTTTTAGGTGTTCTTCTCCATCACACGAATATGCATTTTCTCAGGCACTTAGACCTATAAAAACTGCTTACTTTGTAATTTGAGAGCTGACATGACTGTCGTTTGTCGTGTAGAATTTTGTTTATAGCGGCTGCGAAATATTTTGGATCTAAACCGTTGTTGTTCAGGCAATGAATATTGGAGCGATCGCAACTCAGTGACGGCTTAGCTAGGACACTTAAAAGCTTGTCTGCTCTGATTAATGTAGCTGAAATAATATTTAATTATATTTTTTGTTATTACCAGGTTGACCGGACATTTGTGTGCATCCGGTCCAAGACGGCGACGTCTATATCGCAAGGCCACAGTGGACGAATAAGAACTATCTTCATCTGATGGAGAGAGTTAACTCGCTTCACCTTATATCGAGGTGCCTCTTGATCCTCTTCCCCAACAGGGGGCGTAAAGTTGTTTGCGTCGTTTCTTTGTTTGACAATTCATATCTACCGCCGGATGTTGTAATTGTAAGGGAATTGTGTGAAATAAATTAACTAGAAGAACTTGACTTTTCTAGATAAGTGTTTTTGTTCACGTCTTTCTCATTCAGAGTCTGCTGTAACTGTTTACTGATCCACGGATCTCCCAGCAGTTTCTCAGCGGATCGAAATTATAGAGAGGGGTTGGGAGAGAGAGAAGCGTCATCTACAGTGAACTAAAGAAATTCGAGCTGGCACAGTTGACGAGGAGTATAAACGGAACTTGGAACACCTACCAATAACGAGGGAACAAAGTCTGGTTGTGTTAACGGGGTGGTTGTATGAACCCCTGACCAAGTACGTGTGTGTTTTTGTTAAGACACACCATAAGTATAATTAGGTACCGGCGAAAGGCGGACTCTCAGGGCAACTTAAACCAAAATGCCGGGGGTTACTTTGGTCATCTACTAGCATCTCATCCTAGGGGAGTAGCAATTCTCCCAATTGTTTTATAATCATGATAAGCTGCGGCAATGTGGCCCAAATGCAACTTACTTTTACAAATATAGTAACTGATGCAGCTTTGCTTGAGAAGGTGGGAGCAAAGCGGGAACAAGATGTCAACAAGATGGGAGAGATGGTCAAAACGCGTGGGTTTCTGTATTAGCTCGGGTCGGTTTTTATCCCCTTGACATGTTCAGCAAACTTTGAAATAGGTACGTATGTTTTTAAAAATGTTCGGTGTGTAGCCAGGCATGTTATCACACATCTTTTACATATTCTAGCAGGACGCCGTTTAACATTTGCATTTTCCATCTTTTGTTGAAGAAGGCAACAGTAGTGGCCGAAACGTCCGATAACCATATTTTTAGCCAGTGACAACCATTTAATTCCTTTTTACCAATTTTTTACGTATGTTTTTGTCGCGTTCTTTCGCCAGTCTCCGTCACCGTCTCCCATAATTAAGGAATTGTGCCCTGCTCTAACTTTCAAGGTATGCTGTAAGAACTTAACTTCATGGAACGCCTTGTAGATCATCTACGACCATACTGTCGGGCTGACGGGCTTATGGAAATGTAATTTCAAATGTCTTCGGTGCACATACTTGTACTAAAATGCCGGACACTATCACGGCATAATATCAGAGTAATTGTAACATGCCTGAGCAAAATAAATAGGTTTTAAAAGGAGGACATTCTGTGAGTGATTCCTTGTCAAATTTATGGCGTTAGTCTAATAGACTTCCGTTGTCGTATTTAACATCTGCTTCTCTAGAAACAGGAACAACTCAGTTGTTAATGAGATCGTCAACAGTCCTTCCCAATCTTTCCTGTGCTGGCCACCTTTTCTTTGTTAAAAAAAGCATTCTTTAGAAACTCCTTGAATATCCTTGTGTTGTAGCAGTGGTGAAAACCAACAGGTGTATTTTTCAAGGTGAAGCTCCAACGCATCTTGAAACGTTTCCAACGGAAAAAAAAACTTGGCGCAGGCTTCCATGAATAATTAAACATCACTAATTTTCATCTTCCCACGTAAATAACTTTTTTTGAAACTTGCACGAGATTAGCTTCTAAATTTAGAGTCAGTAATTGCTCCAGCAGTGTTTAGCAATAGCATGTAAGTCGTCATACAGTATTTTCAGACTCCGAACAGCCAACACTCGAAACACCGCTGTGAGCCGGGTTGTTCCAAAGCCGGTTAACACTAAGCCTGTTTTAAAAGTTAACCAAAGTATTAATTTTCTTCTGTAAAAATGTTTTTCACTGCTTATGTTTTGTATAGTTTGAGATGATTCAAACTGAAAACTGAAGGGTAAACAATCTAATTAAAATTAATAGAAAACCTCACCGGAAGTTACAAAAAATGATATCAAAATTCTCGCTAATCCTGGGTTAGCCATTGGGCTTTGAACAACGGACAATGATTTCATTTGAAAAGACGCATAAAAACATTTCATTTCCAGCAATGATCAGTAAACTGAAGCAGAGGCGGCATTAAACACAAAAAGCTCGGGTATGGTCGGTGAGCGAATGCAGGAGAAACAAGGAGCACCCTGGAGGACTGCTTTCCATTTGCGTGGACAGCAACAACAACAACAACAACAGTTTATTTCTACTACTGTAAACGACTAAGAGAATTTACAAGATTATAATTATAAATAAATAAACAGTACAGTACATACAGTAGTGGGACACCCAAAATAACTAAAAAGCTAGTTGGGTGACCGTAATTATAATAATTAAAATTGGTAAGAATTTTCCGCTAAGTAGACTGTTCACAGTCCCCTATTTTTCCGTGAGATCGTAGATGTCGATCGTTGAGTTAGCAAGTCTCAAACGGGCCGCCATCTTGGTCTCTTAATGCGAGCGAAACTGGGGAGAGTACAAAATGTCCGTGGGTAGTGGCGGTGGGGTTAATAGCGTCAGGGTGACGGGGCGGAAAAAATCCGCTCGCCGTGCCCTCCACCACCCCTACTCACGGGCATTTTGTACTCTCCCCAGTTTCGCTCGCATCAAGAGACAAAGATGGCGGCCCGTCGAATTCAACGTTAACGATCGACATCTACTATCTCACGGAAAAATAGGGGACTGTGAACAGTCTATCCGCTGAATGGAACTGTACAAATATAAAGACGGGATGAACGTGTACCATTGGACAGCATCTGAAAACTTTCCAGTGAAACGGTCGGTCCCATTCATAGGCGTACGGGGTGGGGCGGGGGGCGGGGCGTTGCAGCCTCCCCTAGTTTCAGACATTTTTGTAATTTTTCGGGCAAAACGCTGATGATTTGGGCAAGAGTACTCGGGGAAAAACATTCTTAAAGGTTGTCAAGGCCAGGCTTGTGGGCTACTTTCTCTGACGTTTGCCTTGTCAAAATGGAGTTAAGGTCAAATGACATAAGGATCCAGGTATTCTATTTTGGTAAAGCCATATATATATCGTTTAAATGTGTATCGCGGAAATCCGCGATATGTGTATTAGGTTCATCAACAAAGTAATGACAAAAGAATAAAAGCAAACGAAGACCACAATTTTTGTTTTTGTGGTTGCTCTGAAAAGAGCCGTTTTAAATGGCTCCACAAAGAGCCGTTTTACATGTAAAATTTTCCTGAATTTTTCGTACGGGAAAGACCTAACTGTTTCTTTTATAAGTTTCCGATTTTACTAGGCTGTCGATCGAGGTCATAGAGTATGCGAAGTTTCAAAATAACTATTTTTGGAATGATAACAGTTTCATTAGACGTCAGTTAGAGTTGTGAAGGTTTTTTCTTTTACTGCGATTTGAGTGCGTTTGAACAACACTCACGCTTTCGGGCATTGTGTAATATTTTTCGGGCAATAAGGTCACCGCCCCGCCCCCAAGTCCGAATGTGCCCGTAACTATGGTCCCATTTCATTTCCCACTGATTTGAAACGACTGCGTATTTCATCAAGAAGCACGGGAATAGTGTGAGAAAGCAAATGGTAAAGGCGGATTTGCCGATCAAATTCCCGTAAAGACGAGAAAAGAGGAATACATGTACCTTTGAAAAGAAAGATATTCCAAATTTTCCGAAAAGAAAAACCCATGGGAGTGCCCGTTCCATTTGTTTTCCCACCAGAAAAGCCTGTTTTTCCATACAAATGGATTTACTTCTATGACGTCATGAAGGTAGACGAGAAAATATCGACACCATCCCGTCAGTCAGGATGTGGGTTTGAATAAAAAAATTTGAAGATGGAAAAGATTTCCAACGATACATGAAATTAAGAAATCCAATACAGTTGCTTTTATTCGGGTGTTTTTAAGAGCGAACTGACTTGAACAGACTATTATTATTGCTTATCAAGCGCAGCTGAAAAAAAAAAATGTACTTGCAGTATAAGAGAAGCAAATACATCTCTTTTTTCTCGGAAAATTTTCTGCAGTTTACCTCTATATATCTGTGAATTTTCCTTCTCGACTCTGACTTTGAAAAGGTTCTCTCACATCTGTTTATTTGCTAATTTTCCTGCTTCAGCTCATCCGGGAGACCCAGCGATATTTTCTGGCGAGCGCTCGTCCGAAAATGTCGCATCTTGCCGACTATCAGCACCCGGGTCTCCGAGGATGGCTTCAGCTGCATACCTTGACGGGTGTGGACAAAACGTGGGGTAGGCTATGGCCTAGGCCCTGGTGTAGGCCATGGCTTACCCTGTGGCCTACCCTATGGCCCACCAGTGGTCAGATTTTTAAAAACATTAACAAAACATCAGTAAGAGTCGAACGAGTTAGCTAGCATAACATTGTATCCCTCGTGGTTTCTTGTATCCCTCTAATGGGGGTATACTAAAAAGTCACTAACGCCTTTCATTACATGTTTACACTAGCACTCCACTCTATGTTACAAACTGGCAGCCGGTAAGGATCTCGGAGCCGCCATTTTGGCCATTTTGGATACTCTCAGCGACCACCATTGGCCTAGACCATGGCCTACCCCACGTTTTGTCCACACCCTACCTTGACAGGTTTTAGACAAATTGCAATTGCAATCAATAGATCGTTTTCATGTCACGTCATCATTTTCTAAAATCGAAAACTAAAGAGCCACCAAAGTTGTTATCTCCATCAGGCATAAGAGGGGGTAATTTTTTTTTCTGTTTACAATGTTTCTGCTCAATAGTGTGCTTCGTTTGAATATGGCGGTGCGTGACACAAAGCTACAACCGCATTTGTCGAAAAATATATACCTAACTCATGATTTTTAGCTTTTTTAAAAAGTTAGATCATTTGGAAAAGTGCTTATGTAAATGTGTGTTTGTTCAGTACAGATAATCAGTAACCTAGATAGCCAAACTAAGTTCCAGATGTTTACACTATTTTCCTGCCGCCATATTGGTGCACTACAGAGATGCACCAACATGGCGTTTCCATACTCATTACTGGGCTCTGTAAATTTCTGCAAAACATTTCGACAAATATCTGCAATCTGGTAAAACGTACAAACTTAAAACTTGGAGAAGTGTCTCCTCTATCTATTTCCTATAAGATCACAATTTCTTGACTTTATCCACTGAATTGTTTTTGATTTATTTCTTTATTGCGTGACAGTGAAAACGAGCTTTTGGGAAACTTGAAACACAGTTTCATCCTTTGAGATTTCCCATGATATAAACAGACGGGGCGGTTTTATTCCCGTGTGAAAGTGTCTTGAGATCCGAAAAATCCTGGGGCAGAATTATTTGGTAGGTCATGTGATCTTCCTGTTTAGTGTGATTGGTTTTGAGTGATTTAAATGTACGCGCACTGTCCGCGCCAAATTTGAATGAGCTCCGCGTTCCACACGTGAATGCTAGTGAGAAAAAGACGAGCCGATAAAACAAAAGCGTAATCTCCACTAACGTTTACACCAAAAGCCGTTTCATATCGCGACAGCTGGGAAGTGCAAAATTAGGAATTTAGCGGTTGAAATTTCTGTCATGAGCTCCGTGAGACGTAAACTATTCAAAGAAGGTTCAAATTCTTGGGCTTCGGAAACAATCGTCGAAAGCCAAAACAACGAAGCTTTTGAAAATGGTCGCACAGAAATTATCGAATACACTGTTATCAACGAAGGGGATGCTGCTGTGAAAGAACAAATTGTGGAAAATCCACATGGACTGAAAACTCCTCAAGAAAACGTGTTTGGACCTGTAGCTCCGTCATTCTCAGAGAAGGTAATTAAGCCAAGTTGTACACATTTTATTTCTTCTTTATTCCACGAAAGTACATTAAACAATTTGCAAAAAATCAGTATCTTTTGACCAAGTCATCCTACAGAAAAATTCTGCGATAACTCTAAATCGTTTTAACAATTTCCTTCGCCCGGTTCTGTTTGAAACAATTCTCTCATATTTAAACGTTGATTTAATTTCAGGATCTTGAGAAGCAAATCCTAATTGTTCACGAGGCAGAAAACGAAAGACTTCGTGAAACATGGACAGAATTGAAGGCACTCGAAGTGATAAAACTTGCAAGTTGTCATTGTACAGACTTGATTTCGGTTTGTACAAAAGAGACTTTTCTTCTCATTTTCCTGGACATGTCTTCGGTTGCAAGCAACGCTCAAAAAATATGCTCTACTGTAAGGTGAGTTCATGATAAGATTTCTGTTTCTTCTTTGCTGTTAATTACACAATACATAGTAAACTCCGCCTCTGCTGTCGTAAGAAGTTAGATCTGATCAGCTTGGCTCAGCTTGTGAGTGTAAATAAAATTTCGGGATTAAGAACACCTTCCCCAGCTCGTTACTTTTAATCGAAACTGCACAATTCCCCTTAATTGCAAGAAAAAAATGTAGGTGAATATCAAGATATTACAGCTAGATCCCTGCAAAATTATTCTTGCAGAGAAAAAGACTTGAGATGTCTTTTGAGACGTCATTTTGTACCAGAGAATTTGTTTAAAATAACAAAAAATTATTTGGTGATCATTTCCAAATGTTTTTGTGACCCGTACTTAGTATGCTTATCTAAGATACCAGTGGCAGATCCAGACCTTGAGCTACGAGGGGGCCCGGTTTTGTTTTGCCTGCTGGCTTTTCTTCCTTCTGTGATTTTTTTTTTTTTTTTAAATCCAAAATAAGGGGGACCCCGGGCTCCTCTCCTGGATACTGTTGTAGAAAGAGAAATTAAGTGTTGAAGAGATAATCTTAATTTATCATTGTTGTTTAAAATCACTACAGGTACAATCCCAATTCTCTGAACCGTTCTGTCGCAATAATTGGAGTGACAAGTGAAGGGAGCAAAGGTACTGAAATGTATCCTGTTTTTTTGAATAGCCTCCTTAATATTCTATCCCCTTTCTCTTTGCCCCTTTAATGAATCAAACGTTTTTCATTTCATATTTCAGAGGACTTCAGTGCCCATGGAATAAATGACATCCTTCACTTGCCAGTGACAGAGGAAACAATGAATCAGGTTTTGTTGAAGTGGGCTAGACACAAGACCTGTGAAGGTAAAGAAATAAATCAAAACCACTGAAACCTTCTGGCAAAGCCTGCACCACCATGTCTGCACCCAATTTCACTTGGTGACATACAACTACGACATCGTCTCTGTCACAGTTGCATATACCAGTCAGTTGTGCAGAAACATGAGAGGGCACAATGTCGGTGAGAATGAACTGAACAAATGCACTTATTACAACATTGGCCCCTAAATTGGCATACCATATTTACTTGAAAAATAGTTGCTATGATGCTTATTAAATGTTTTGGCCTTTCAATGTTGTCGTTATTTAAGGTGGCCGAACACAGTTTTCCGCGCGCTTTTGCTGATGCAATTCAGCGCACGCACAAGGATTGCAAAAAAATAAACATGCCGTCAATAGAGCAATCATTTTATTTACTCAACACCTGCAGTATCCGTGCTATTTTTATCTATAATTGAACACATTGTATTGATGGCTTTAGTCTTTTATCACAAAAGATATGTTAGAAAAGGTAACGATGCAAAGAACCCAGCAATTCTCAGCTTTTTCTTTATTACCGAAAGAACCCAATTAAATGCAACGCATGCGTAGTAAGTAAAAAAATTGATTGAATGAAAATTTGCACTCTCAGAAATACACCTATTTCTCGAAAACCACTCATTAGAATTTCACGAAATTTGGCACGAAAATACTATAGGAAATAAGTAACTGGGGTATTGAAAATAATTGAACTTTAACAAAGGAAATTCTAGATATTCCAGTGAACCTTCAAGAAGGGATAATTCAAGATCTCTCTGTTAAATTATTAGCAAAATGGTGTTAACTTGTGAGAATCGCTACAAGCTTGTTGCATGCAAATTATAAAGAAAATCTAATGACTAGATTTTCTACAAATAAACAAAACCGATTTTGAAGTCCTGTTTATTTTTATCCATGTTGCCATGGCAACAGCACATACATCAGCTTAACCGTCAAAAAACCAAAGTTTGTGTTGTTATCTTGCTTGCTGCCATTTTTGGTGACCGAGAGATCAAGGGTTTTAGAGAAAAAGGTGAATGAAACACAGGTATCAAAAACAGTGTTCAGCCACCTTAAGGGTGCCACTTCTTCAAGGTTGTTGCTTGTTCATTATGAAGGCTAAGTGCTGTTATTCAATGTTGCAATGACATTGAAAAGATACAGTTATAGCTAATAAATATCAGACCTGACAGCCTGCTTAAACTGAAAGTCTACAGATTGAATGTTTGTAGATTGAAAGTCTATTGATTATTCGGATCAACCAGGACATTTCTGTTGGAAGCTGAACATTCACCTATATGTAATGGGGGATGGTTAATTTTGGCAAGACTAATGGCACCCAGGTGGCTGGTCTACCTCCCTTTGGCTCTCTAAGCTGTTTGTTTCATTCATGTTCCTGTCAATTCACTTTGTTTCAATCATTTCAGGTATGCCACTGACACCAGAGAGTCCTGAAGATCGAGTTCAATTACTTGGATCAAAAGGTCCAGAGAGGAGTAAAGAGAATGCTGAAGAACCATCATCATCACTTGTACACTATTCACCATCCCTGTCACTTCAGTAAGTGAACAGCAAATTATTCATTTAAAGAATTTAGTTTGTTTCAGTCAAACTGTCCATGGGCACCTTCAGATTCACACCTTGGTGCTTTCTTATGGGAAGTGTCTGCATCTCCAGGAGAAGGCAGGGGGGAAGGGAGGAGTTGGGGGAGGGGGGGCAAAAACAATGAAATACACTGAGAATGGGGAGTGCTGTTTTTATTCTACTAGGAAATAAATAGTTTAATAACTTTTTAACTCACTGTCTCTGGTTTGAACAACTTTGAATATTTAGCCAGCACAAGGATTTCCTATTAATATTTAATTCTGAAACCGAAATACATGAACCAAGATTTGAGACAATTTCTGGCAACAATCCTATAATATTTGAGGCATTAAACAAATTTCTCACAAGCCAGAAAACGTGAAATTACAACAACAAGAGAAACTACTCCAAGAACAACACCTTAAAATCATTGAGTCACACCTTTGAGACCAAACCAATGCAGATGTTCACAAAGAAATTCATACAAGTAACAGAATAATATATTATGCTATATAATATCTATAGAGTTGCCATTTTATGGCCTTATGCACCCTAGGGCAGAAAGAGGATTGAGTGAGTTGAGTACCATGTTTTATATCTCTTGCAGACAGAACTGTAGTAATGCAATTTCTCAGGCAGTTAATTCTGTGGCAACATCAGAGTCCTTTGGCAAACCCTCCTCTCTTCAAGGTAGCCACTCAGAATCCTGCTATCAACAGCCATTTCACAATGCACAATGTGTTTCTGCTGATAGAGGCAGCTTTGGTGATCTGACCCAAACCCATCACCTCACAAATGATGGTGGCTTGCAACAACACAATGGCCATGTTTCAAATACTACTGTTCCACAACACTTTGCACATGGAGGGAATCTACTGCAAGAACCACCACTGCCATCTCTATTTATTCCAAGATCAGCACCAGACCATATCAGCACCCATGGAGGGCTTGTCTCCACTCATATTACTGGCACGGTCAACCAAGCCTATTCTGAACACTGCAACCAAGGCTATGTTTACCACAACATACAATCCTCAGATCCAAGTAGAGTTGGCAATTTTCCACAACATTTTATTCCCAGCAACCCACCACCACTCTGTCCAAATGCTCATGGCACCAACAGTGGAGGCTTCAGTGCTGGCCACATGGCATCCAAGGCTGAACATCCTGCAGCATCCACACAAGCATCACCTGACTGCGACGGTACCAAGATGGTTGGGACTCCAGCATACATGATCAGTGGACCACTGGGTAGTAAAGATATGAAAATCACACTGCTACGTGATGATTTGTCTAAACACAGCTCCAAAGAAAGAATCCGAAGGTAAAAGTGAAAAATAAAACAGTGACACAAATAATGATAATTATGCTGCATGTGCATTTAATTCAAAATATTGGGTGGGTAAAGTAATAATTGCACAGAACTGTCGTATGGCCAACAAATGGTTAATTCCTTGGGATGCTGAAACACCAATGAAAGAACCTTGTTGAAAATTTGAAACTGAGACTTGGACATTTTAGGCTCTGAGACAGATTGAAAAACACAAAAACGAGACTGCGTGGCTCATCAAAGGATTCTAAGGTTTCAAGATAGGATCAAAAGTCTCCACCATTTTCTAGGTAGTATTTCATACCGCTTGTCTTCTTACAGAGGAAACATTTAGACAATAATCTCCTTGTTGATGATTTTCTTTATTCTTATAACAAGTTAAAAAAAAAACTACTTAAATTAACCGTTCTCCTGTTGATAAGCAATGGACTACATTACTATTATGTACATTTGTCTGTCAAAAGGAGTTTATTTTGCTTCCGAAATTCACTGTCCCATGATCTTCTAAGAACATTTAATGAATGACAGACATCCAATAGGCCATATTCATATTCTCGATATTGGACTGGAACTAGCTTGCAATGGAGGCTCATGCTCAATGAGATAAAAGTCATTTGCATTTGAAAAGATGTCCTGCATAAGCCTCAGTTGCAAGCTAGTCTCAGTCCATTAATGAGAATACAAATATGGCCTATTGTTATTCATTTTGCAAAAACTGTCTCAATTTTGATCCAGAATTTTTCCTTTTATCCACAATTCAGTTTGGTTTGTTCTACTCTTTATATTTGTAGAGAACGTATCAAGGAGAGTTGTGATCAACTGCGCTTTCTGTTACCAAGTGTTGCTGGAAAAAAATCTGATATGGCTTCTGTAAGTTATGAGAACTGAGAAATACATACATAATGTATGTATCAGTTTTAACAACTTTTAAAAAATGTAAGAAGGGATTCATTCTGAAAAGTGATTGTAATGATGATGAGGTTGATTATTATCATTTTTCTTCATTAGATACTTGAAATGACAGTGAAATATGTGCGAATGATCAAGGAAAGGCTACCACCTGCTGTGCTGCAAGAGGTAATAATTATAATAATTAATAAGTATGTTCAGGATAGACTAACATGGGCTGTGAACCAAGGTATGAGCTAGTTTCTGAAGAAACTGTTGGGCTGCATTGGCAGGCAAGTTAAACACTTCACTATTTATCAACTTGCCATAGATTCAGCCTTTAACCTGGTCTGAGTTTGATTCCTCCAGTTGTTATTCATGTTATTATCATTAGTTTTTGTTGGCTAGTCATATAATGCCCTGAATCCCTTGCCAAGTGATAAACACAGTCTTGACTCCATGCTACACCCGACTCCAGCCAACCTGTCTCAGGGTGATAGTCATGCAAATACTCCACCACTTTAAAGTGTATATGACACAATTGTTTTTTCCGCTGATTCTGGTCATTAATAATGTTAGAAAAATGGTTGTAATTTTTTAGATCATGAGAATATTTTGAAACCCCTTTTTTTCTTTCAAAATACACGCTACTTTCATGTTGAAATTGTCCCACAGATCACGCGGCCAAAATGTCACATGATTTACGTCTGTGACGTCACTGTGTTTGATGAACAAACCAATATGGCTGAAAACGAAGAGAAACGTTTGAAGCATGAGGCGGGTCGAAAATTAGCGTTACTAGCTAGCAAATCACTGGCACATTTGAAGCTGTGTGCAAGAGAAATGACAAGGCGGTTTCCCATGACAGCAATGTTATCAAACACTGTGACATCACAAACACAATTCTCGTCCCCAGTTTCCAGGGACACTTTTATGGGGAAATTGGCCGTATTTCGGCCGCAAAAAAAATCATCCAAATTAATTTTTTTTGCATTTTCAAAACATTATTCATGTATTACATATATCAAGGAAGGAAAATACCTTAAAAAAAATTTTGTGTCATATACACTTCAAAGAAAAAGCTCCTTTGCATGGAGTTGATGACTGCCTATGCCAAGTTGGATCAACTGGCAAGGTGCGACCAACGACCAACTATTGGTTGAGTCTGTCAATATTTTGTACACACATCTTAATTGAGTATCAGTCATATGCTGGTGGTTTATCAGTCTACTGTCATGTCAGTGATATATTGGTCAACTGTGAGTGGTTTCTCAGTCAACTGTCAGTCAAATGTTGAGCCTGGGTGGGGAGACTCCCGTATAAAAGGTTGGGGATGTTCATCGTTAAATTTGAATTAAACAAACTAGTCTGGGTGTGGATATATATCATGTCAGAAGTACTGTGTTTCTTTCGACCGATTGTCAACCAATACTTGGTGAATTATTGGCAAAGTATCAGCAAGGTGTTGGTGAGGTATCAGTGAAGTATCTGTGAAGTATTGGTGAAGTATCGGTGAACTGAAAGCTATGTTGGCCGACACAAAATCTCAACCGATATAACTAACAACTATTGACCAAGTCTCGGCCAACTGTTGGCCAACTATTGACCGACTTTTGCCTGACATTTCAACTCACTGTCGACTGATATATCGCCTGACTGTCAAGCGATATATCAGTCAAGACAATCCACAGTAAACACAACCCAAAATGGATACAGTGTGTCAGTTGACAAACAAAAACATTGTATCATTTAATTATTAGAAAGGTATCACCAGCATTGGTTCTTTGTAAAACCACATGTTAAATAAGACTAAATATGTTCTTTGCTTTTAGATTTCTCAGAATATTGCTGACACAACCTTAATACTTCCCAGGAAAAGACCAAATAGAGACATAACAACCAACAAACAGGCAAGGCCAAGGTACACGTTCAATTACTACTTCTAACAGTGAATTTTACTCATGTTGTTGAGCAGTTTTCATTTTCATTGAGTATCATAAATCCAAAACTAAAGTAATCACTCTAGCCAGTAACTAAAGGACACAGACAATCCGATGAACCAATCAATAAACCAATCTTGCAGCTACATATATCTTGCAAATGAGCATGTATTTGAAAATGATAAATGAAAACAGTTAGCTAAAATTTCCATTGCAGACTTGCACCTACTTCAAATGTTCACGAGGCACCACCAAGACTACCACACCCTTTACCACCATTCTACATGAGGTCTGTACCACTTCAAGGCAAGACCCCAGCCATGGTAACCACAACAGGGCCTATGTATGTGCCACACCTTCACATCAGGCCTGGTCATGAACATGCCCAAATTCCCTTACAGCAGCATCATGTTCATCAAACTGAACCAGCAAGCTTTAGACCGGCAACTTCACCTCCTTCGGCATTCAACAGCTGTCACACTGTGGGTAACACCAGAAGTGCTAACTTAATGCAGCATCACTCATCACATGAACATGCCACAATGAACATTCACCAGGAATACAGTGCACCCCATTCTTCATTTCACTCCAAGCCCAAGCACATTTATCATGGCAACCACCCTGCAGTTCCAAGTGCGCCTGGTCACAGTTATGACATGCCCCAGCAATGGAGTTTCTTGAAGCTTCCACCCATAGGGAACATTTTCCATTCATTAAGTTCTAGTAATTTATGCCAGGAAAGTCCAAAACAGGATTCGTGCGAGTCTGGTAGATCCTCACCAGCTGACTCTTCATCCATGACACCACCACTCTGGGAGAGCAGTGGAAGTGTGATTGGTAACAGACAAAATCATGCACACATGGAAAGTCCTATTATGTTCAAAGGTACATCAATATAAAAACACAGATGATAACCACATTTCATTGACGACAACAATTAATCGCTCTGTGTGAAGGCTTCACAACAATTATGTGAATCATGTACCCTAAAGCAAACATAAAGAAACTGTCTAAAAGGCTTCTTATATGGATGACTATTTAAAGATGACTACATAATTTACAGAATTTTATATTTTGGTACATTAAGATCAAGGATCTGGAGTATTGCTTGAACTCAAAATTTACCAATTTGACCATCATTTTTTCAAACTTTGCAGAGATACATGTATATAACCTTACGCATGCTTCAAGAGAGTCTTTAAGGGTTGATGTTAAGATTTTGACACCAGTTGAAACATTTGATATGTCTGTAACTAAAAATTGCAGTTATCTTCAGATGAAATACAATTTATTGTCAGTGATATTTGTAAGGATATAGTGTTGTTGCTAAGATTTCAGTTACAATTCAAAGTTGGGAGATTTCGTCAACTGAAGATATAAGAGATTCAAAGGAACTATTCTATACAGATAAATATTGTATAATACCATTTATCTTGTGTATTCTGAGCTGAACTACCCATAGCAAGCAAGCTTTCGATAATTATGTATAGCATCATTTAATTAGGGGTGCGTTTCTTTAAGAAAATCCAAGATTGGATTCTTAAATCTAGATTTTGCATTTCTTTACTAAACAGATCAATCCAAGATCACTCCGATCATGGTGCATCAAAGGAACCGAAGAATCCTTGCCCAGAGTGGATTCTTTGGTTTCTTTGACGCACCATGATCCTAGAGACCTTTGATTAATCCACTTAGAAAAGAAACACAAAATCCATTTTGGATCTTCTTAAAGAAACGCACCCTAAGATACATAAAATTGACTACAGAGTAAGTTTATATACCAACATGTTAGCTTAAAGGATAACATGTTACCTCATTAAAATAATTATGTAGTTTGGGTACAATTTAGTATATTTTTTGTTAGTAAAGCAGAGATAGCAAAGAATCTTTTTTTTTAGAAAAAAAAAATAAGAATTGATGTTACATTTTTATTTTCTTCAAAGAAAGGTCATTAAGCATTTGAATTACAAATGCTATGGTAACACATGGTGTTCAAAACAAACCAGTAACTGTGCATTCCACTGGTGATTGCACGAATGGTACCAAAAGTTACCATTTTCATTCAATACGCTGAGATATGTTATATTTAGCAAAAGCTAAGCTGGTATTAGCCGCTCCTGCTAGCAGGATTTATCTACTGCAGAACCTTACAATTGTGTTGTTGTTGACAGTGACATTTATTATAATTATTTTGCTTTTAGTCCTCGAAATTGTAAATTTAAATTATATATAGCAGCTGGAGTTTGACTGCAGTTCAGAGAAACTTCATGGTTTTCAAATATATTAATAGCTTACTTTCTAACTTACTACAAAAATCGTGTTGACATCATTTCAATTATTCACACAAATATAAACCATTGTGCTGGTACCAAATGGCTGTTGTGTCATGTCAACTGTTTTTGTGCTAAAGCTGCAAACCAGTAAAAGTAATGTGAGGAAGATTCAAATAACAATTAATACATTAATAATTACATAATCAAAACATCATGGTCAGATAATGAAAGGAAAGAACTGTACCATGAATACTCTAGGCTATAAGAAAATCTCAAAGCTGTGTCCACAGACTAGGTATATTCTCAAAATTAAAACCACTTTACCCAGTCTATAATATATTTTTTACATTTCACTTCATTGCCAGCTAACCTAAATTTTGTTAGTCTATTTCATGCAAAAAAATTAAGAAAAAAAATTTTTGAAGTTCTATTATAAAGCTAATTGCACCTGACATTTAACACACTTTGTGTGGTATTAACAATAATTATTTACTGTTGTTAATAAAATTATTGTCTTTGGTCTTTGGATCTGTTTCAAGTTTGTTGGATTGTGCCTGTGCTTCAGAATGCATTGTTGATAGAGATATAAATATGTAACAACATGTGACCCATACATTGCATGTTACTTTGACTATAGAAAAGAGCCGTCTTCTGCCTGGTTAATAAATTCCCTTTTTCTGGGTGGGGGAGGGGTACTTTTTCTAGGTACAGGGGAGTTTCTTCTCATCAGTTCCCACTTGAGATATTTCACATTATTATAATAGCACCCAGCTCAAGTTTGCCTGTTTAGACTTATTACGTTTTTCCACACAATTCCTAACTCAAGCTCACACGTAAAAGTTTTGTCAAAGCTTCAAGGGCTGCATGGCTATGGATCTTATACTGTAATTAAGGCAGTTCCATTACTTTGGATTTGGTCACAACATTTTCATCCGCTTGATATGAATAATGCATTGCCAAAACATGTGAATTTTAAATGTCTCCCATTTGACTCTATAGCACAGTGACACTATTCTTATTTCCAACCTGAATATATTTAATCCAGACCAAAAACTAGCAAGCCAATACTCCTAACTCTTTTACAGTTCAGGATTAAGCAGCTGTTCTTCAAGCAAGTTACTTGATGACCCCAAGAACAGTTGCAAAGGAAATTTATTTACCCCTTCAAGTTGTTGCTTCTGAGGTTTACAGGTAGAAAATATTATTGTGCCCCACTGAGGTGCAGGGAGGTCTGGATTACAGGATCTCTACATTGCAACCACAATATCAAGAGCAACGTGTATGGCATATGGGTCCAAGTGCTCACTCGTGGCAGAGTGTAGGTGTGACTTGGTGAGCAAATGATTGACAAAATTTCTGTTTGGATTGCCATGTAGATGTAAGTTTAATAGCTTTTTGAAGTATTCATCAGGGTTTCAAACATTTTAGTGATATGTCAAAAGGCTGACAAATTAAGCGCTTTTAAGAGCTTATCAGCACTGTCATGCGACAGTGTTCTCTCACCAGCAGTCCACTTACTCTCAGTAACTTTCTATAACATTACTGAATCCCCAGCTACCCCCAAAACACCTATTAATAAAAAGTTGTTTAGACAAATACATGTGAATAAAATGATGAACCGGTAATAAAAGTGAACCGCAAATTATTGTAGTTCACTTTTCAACAGCTTAAAGTATGGATAAAAGTATATTTATAAAATACTGTAAGTTACTCTTTTTTTGCATCAAGTCAAATCTTAAATCCATAAAGAGGTCTTTTTTCTAAGAATAAACCTCTTTCTTAAAAATAATAATAATAATAACAATAATAATAATAATAATAATAATAATAATAATAATAATAATAATAATAATCTTGACTGGTCCTGGAGTGTTTATGTGTGGAAGTGTACCAAAGTAGTAAAAGGCATACAAAGTCAACTTAAAATACTTCACGTATTGTAAAACTGATTGTTTATTAAAAAGTCTTGTAAAATTATTACTGGTCTATTTCAGTAATATAAGTATGATTTATTTTATAAAATACAATGATATCCTTCAGGATAATAACAACTCACATTTGCATACAATAGCATTATTTTTATAAACTTAACTACTCTACCTACTTACAGTAGTCTTTGCCAGCAAATGATCATTTAAGGTCAGGTACAGCTGATCCTAAATAAACCTTGAGGTTCTCAACTGTTGATTGAATCAGTTTGCAAGGAACAGTTTCCTTGCTGAGTCTTTTATAAGCTTCATATCTATGACAACCACCAAATGAGTAGAAATAATCACCTCCCAGCCTTCCTTTGATCCACAACACATCAATCGGCGGTACTGAATGTCTTGAATCCTTATCCTGAAGTGAAAGAGTGATCATTATGTTTTGTAGCTGTGTTTAGCCATGCTTGAAGACCAAGAGAAAGTTACAAGGTGGCATGAAGATTATTTTGATCTTAATAGATCATAATAATATAATAATAAAAGAATCAAGCTTATACATATAAAGCTTAAGCAATATCTCTGCAGGTCTACAGGAAGAAAGAACGCCATGTCTGGTTCATTCTTTCATTTTTCCCGGCCTTTTAACTCCTTTCATGTAAAAGTGTTGACCATGAAAAAGTTGCATAAAGTGTGATCTCCTTTTATCCACACGCTCATAAATTACATGTGAAATGAGCTTCTCTCACCTCAATTGTTTTCATAAGTGACTTCACTTTCTCTTCCTCGAGTACAGGCGGTATGGGTCTATTAATCACATTTATAGGTACCTGATGAACCTCTGCGATTCCTGCAGAATGCACACTTCTTTCTGCAGCCATTGCTCCAGTAACTGGCTCAGTTATAACGCAAACAGCAAGCAATCTTTTTAAAAACAAACATGGCGCCTTTCTCGCCATGTTTGTACTGCGCGTGCTCAGAAGATGCGTACATTTGGAATTGGAAATTTGGAATTGGAAGCGGATCCATCAAATTGGCAAAACAGAGTAAGACTAGGGGTTTAATTAAAATTACCGATTTTCCTTTAAAACAGTACAGTGGCATTGTCTTCTTGGTTATTAAATAGGGAAATTTTGACAATAAGGTGATTAAATCATGGTGTTTATAAGCCCTTTTCAATTCTATCAAATTTCATGTACAAAAGGTTAAAAGCAATCTTGAGCTTTTCCTTGGATTTAGCAAAGGATAATTCATATCAAACTAGAGGGAAAGAGGTTTTTTTCACACAAATCTGTCTTTGGGTCATGTTGTAAGGAAAACCTTGCAAAGTTATCCATTCCCATTTTCCAAAGAAAAAACATCACAAAAATGAAACACACAATTGGGTTAATAGTGAAAATCTTTACTTTTTATCATAATTTACACCAGAGTGTACATCAGGTGGTTTAAAACATGAGGCATTCCATGGTGCTTTTCTGATGGTTAAAGCAACCTGCTCCTTTGTTTTCAAAACTCTGCCCTCAATGTGCATGCCTATGTTACAATGCTTAACATACAAAAACTTTCCTAATAATTATTGTTGATCCTAATTATAAAATTATCATTTTGTTCTTCAACTGTCTTTCTTTGGTGTTGGTTTCTTGCTTTTGATCATCACAACAGCAACAAATATTCCTTTAAAAGAAAAGAAATCACAAGTTGGGGAAGCAAAACAGCTCATAATTTTAATGAGGGAGTAAACCAATACTATCAGAGTTCACTACAAATAAAACCCTACTAAAAAAAAGAATTGTTACAAGTCATTAACACTTCATGAAACAACTAGTCTAAATACTGAGCCTATAATTTTCTTTTCAAGATTATTATTTTTTAGCTTAAGTGAAATCTGAGAAAAATAGTCCAAAACACTAAATGTAAAATCCCATACAAAAATACTAATAATTTCTATCACAGAATAAAAATGTACTGTCATATGTTTTTTAGTTGTCAGAGACCAAGCAATAAACTTAGCACCTCAGTAGAATAAACTCAATAGAAAAATAAATATAAACTTTAGCAAAAAATATAACAAGTACTTCATAATAATTATTAGACATGGTAATGAAAATATTGTTCATTGTTGAAGAGAATATTGCTGGAATTTTTCCTCTGTATTTCCAGACCATTTCCTACTAGTCAAATTCCCTAACATTCTATTATAATTAATCAAGACATTCAAATTTTATACAAGTTCACAAGAAAAGATAGATACCTATTACTCCTAGTAACACCAGACCAGCAACAACTGGAATTATGACAGCATACATTCGTGGTGGAAATAATCTCTGGATAGCATGACCTTTCTCTACAAATGGCTGAAAGAAAGACAATAAAATAAAAATTTAAGAAATATCACAACAGCATGAGCAAAATCATGTTGCAATTGAAGTTCTATCCTGTCCTCAGGAGCAAAAATGTCCATGCATTGTACAAAACAAAATTTTGCATACATCTGAATTCTTCAGATTTTGAGAAAATGAGTTTGGATAATTGTTCAATTGAATCTTTGCAAGGCATATGAAATAAATTTTCATATTTACAAAAATATTCTTTGAAATACACAGTTTGAAAGTTTGAGACTTTAAGGTGGAAATTGACAATTTTACAAACCCTCAAAGTTGTGCTATTTTGCTCCTAATATGGTCAGGGGATTAGGCTGAGTCATGTCCAAACTGTAAAATGATCTATATCTAGACAGTGATCATTAAATGTTATTTTTTTAGTTGAGTAAAACCGTTCTATAAAAGTAGAACTTCATCAGATGAAGAGTGTCATCTTCAACCATAAATAAGAAGGCAGGAAAATTTCAAAAATGCCAGCTCCTCATAGTGAATAAAGGAAGTATAACAAGCAGAAAGGTAATAAAACATGTTTTACTAACAGCTGACTAATGATAATATTAATTCACAAATTTATTTTTGGTTAATTATGTAATTTACCCATGGAACGTATCCCTCCCCTCCCTATTTTCAAATTCATCTCGTACCTTACCCCCTGGCTGTCCAAAGCCATGACAACAAAAGTCACAAAGAAAAAATCTGGAAAGATCTACAAAGAAAGCAACATGTTCCGTGGCGTTTTCGGTTAAACGGAAAATAGAATCTAGCAGAATCGAACCCTTTAATGTTCCAGGAAAAGTCTCTTTAACATTTGAATCTAGTAATCAGTAATCCGGCATTTTCTAATGTGTCAGTTCAAATATCTGCTAGGGAGTGAGAAATATTTACCATGAAGACTTACCAGTAGAACGACCCATATCGTGTAATACACAAATATTACAGCACTAACTAGCATCATTCCATATCCTGCAGCACGGTCCGTTCCTGTAGCCTAAAGAGGATAACGTTTTTAATACATAAACGAGCGAACTTTGACGGAAACATGGCGTCGACGCAAATTTTGTGACAGGATTGAAGCTATTACAGCTCGCGAAAACGGGCTAATTAAGGCCAATCTCATGCAAGATGGATAAAGGAAATACTTATCAATAAAACGCTAAGCTTACCATTTTAAAAAAGAGCAAAAACTCTGAAAAATTGAGCAAAACTACAGCGATAAAATGGCTACAGTCTACACTTCAGCGTATGAAATAGAGACGTCAAAACAATTGGTCAGCGGAAATTCAACCGGAAGTAAAGTTGAACAAACCCGGAAATCGATGTCAAATTAAAACAAAAGAACTTTGTCAAAAATATAAACAAACTTTTAATAAATGCAAACAAGAATATTCCCGTTGCAAGATAACGCAGTCGTGTCCTTGTGACCATGGAAGAAAATTTGTGCTCATCTTTCACCAACCACATTCTCAGCTTAGGTGCTAAACTGAAGGAGCTTCTGTGGAGAGCAAGTTTGAATCACCAAGTCTTCCTGAGCGATCAGTTCGACAATGAAATTGTTTCTTCTTTCCCTTTTGGTTCTTACCTCACTGTGCTTCGTTCTCGGTGACGAAGACGACATACAGCCCAACTTTGACGATCTGAACGCAAACGATGGACAGATGGTCGAGGACACGCCAGACGATTATGTTGAGGACGAAGAAGACAACGTAAGTTAAATTGAGTAAATTTGTTTTGGTTGAGTCAGGGTCGAATTTATTGTCACATGAAGATTTGTTAGTAACATTACTCTGGAAAATTCAGATTTTAACGTACGAGAATTCATCATAGCTAACTCTTACCCAAACAAACGAAATAGCGAGTTTTCTGGGCCAAACAAAATTCAGAGACACACCGAAATAATTGGAATATTCACTTACCGCATGACCGTGCGCTCATCATTTCTTTATTCTTGTGTTGATAATTTGAATTCTTAAAATTGCTTCCAAAAATGTTTGTCACCGCGAGTTGAAATCGGATAATTGATTGAATTACACGAGTTTTAACCTTAAACTAACAGGGGTTTGATACTGAGAAAATATCTGATAATGTTAGTAGCGCGTATCATTTTTTTTTTTGTACCTTAGAGAATACCATGCCCTGCCTCTCAGTACATAAAAAGCGGATAAATTAAGCACTTCTTTTGACTAAATCTGCTATCAATGCAGACACACGTGAGATTTAGTGCTAAATTTCGTTTTCAAACTACTTCTGGGCAGAGAATTCTCTCTCCCGCAATGGTTATTTGCCATAAAAAAGAACCTGAACAAACGTTTGAGATTGTTGTACACCTAAATATCGTTTTGTTGATGGTAGTATTTTGTTTCTTCACATGCAGGACATGGAAGATGACGAAGACTTTATCCCAGAGGTATGTATTCCATGCAAATAAAATCTTGTGTCAGGTGAACCTTCTTTTGATCCCCAAGTGATCAATCCGCCAATTTCTCTTTTTAATATCACTACAATATCAAGGAGTAAGTGAAGAGAATAGGGCATGAAAAATAGAATATATTGTCTCATTTGTCTTAATGTGCCACCAAATTCTCAGAAACGAAGTTAAAAGAAACATACAGGAATTAAATAGGAGAGTTTTTTGCTTTAGTCAGAGACTTTTGTAGCTATAAATCTGCTTATCGCTGAAATTACAGAACCAGTGAAAACGAACATAGCCTCTTTTTTTGACAGGAACATGATGATGGCGAACTAAGGGATCCCGATGGTTTTAAGGCAATTATCATTGTTTCATTGTTGTTTTTCTTCTTCGTTAAATTTGACTGTTATATATCTAATGGTTTTATTTCAGGATGATGATGACGCGAACCAAACTGGTTTGGAGGGAAGCGGAGGGAAGCGCCCACCAGTAAGCTATAAATTTTTAAAATAATTCTCAAGTATTCCGTTTTTCCTATTTTCTTAATTGTACTTCCTTTCCTCGCCGGAATGTGTTGATAGAGCTGCAGGTACTAGGAGAGGATTGTATATAATTCTGTTTCATTCACAGACGTTAGAAATGATGATATTTTATTCTCATATGCATCGCAGGAGTCAAACAGAGAAAATCAAATCAGATCCCACNCCCCCCCCCATTAAAAAATGATAGGTCAGCAATCCCTGTAACATGAAATTACTTGCTACGTCATATATGGCACCCAGTCCACGTTTGCCAGCAGGATTGGTCGACTTGAATATCACGTTGCAATCGTACCTTCCAGAGATATTGTCCTGAGTGCTTGATGTCCACAGCTTAAAATATTGTCTTTAAATTATCTTTTGATTATTTTTGCGTTCTTAAAATTTCGTAATACAACGAGAAATATAGCCCCTAATTGATGAATTCTGCTAAATTGTCGTGGCTGTATTGCTTGACAATCTGTTGATTGTTGTAAGCAGAAATCGAATGTTGACCATTCTCTTGTTATGAATCATTTCAGGTGGACACCATTATAGAAAAAACTCCTCCTTCAAAAGGCGAGGAGGAAGGCAGTGGTGACTCAAACCAATCGGTAAGAGCCTCTATTAGAAGTCACTTTATCTATGTGTTAGGAAGAGCTTACAAAACTCTCCAACAGTTTTGTTTTGTTTTTTATTTCTTCGACGATTTTCTCTAAATCTCTCATTCCAATCAATTCTTTACTTGACTAAATGCCCATCACCCACACAGGTTGGACTGAATCACGAGAGTAACACTAACGCAAGTTTAAGGTTTCTCCCGATGAGTCAAATTGTCTTGTCTTTTTTTCAGGTTAGAGACGCTTTGGCGAATAAGCTGGGATTAAATTCTGACTCGGATGACCCAGAGTTCGCCAAGAAATAGTTTTCCTTCATGGAACGTACCCAAATTGCTTATATTATGGTGCATGGTGTAGTTTAGAAAGCAAAGATTTTCTATGTGGGATATTTGTTACGGAATTACTTTTTACCTTTGGGTTATGCTTAATCAAATAAACAATTTTTGCTTTTTTTACGAAAAATAACAAAAAACTGCATTTGTTAGAGTGTTTTGGTTTCTTCAGGATTTTTTTTACAAAACGTGTCAGCTACTCTTAAATTTTGCATTTATATTAAAGACTGATGCTTTAAACCGCTAAATATTTGTCTTTGTAAGTGTTTCAATCACCTTTTTCTAGACTTAATCTGCCTTCATCACGATGAAAGTTTGGCACTCTTTGCGCGCGCCTCTTCGCACAAAAGAAGCTAGTACTGACGCATTAACCCCTTTACTAAAAACACAATTCAAACAAGAACCTCAAAGTATACTTAGAAACTCGGAAACCACACCGGTGATAAAACTAAAGAACAAAGGAAATTCACTGAATAAAACGGCCTACACATAGGTCGCATCCTTAAATATTGTTTTTAAAACGTGTAGCAACTTGAGCCCCACAGCTTCCTCCAACTGACAATGCGAGACTGAATAACTCGCAAACCATGTAACGCGCGACTCGTGCATGTAACGTGCAATATAACCCGCGACTCGCGCTCTCAAAGCGCTAAACCAAAAAATGATGCGCCGGGCAGGGGGAGGGAAGGTAAAGTGCTGTCTTGAGGGCTCTGATATCAGGACAATAACGCGGCAAGAGTGTAAATATCCTACGACCTTTGCTTTGTAAGAAACCAGTTAAACCTTCTCTTTTTAAAAGACCAAAACAGACCTCCTGAATGCACTTATCGCAAAACACAACTAAGAGTTAGGAAGGAAGAAACGTTAATTAAAATTATATTCCTACAGAAAATGTCTAATGTCTTCTCATTCATGAAATTCGACTACCAGCGCTCAGGAATGATTGACGAGTGCTCGCGGGTCCAAAAAAATTCGAAAAGTCGTCTTCGGCTACCTACGAATGTTTCCGAAAAACGGCAAATGATCCTGTGTTAAACTATTTTTCCCCTGCGATCCTTGTGAACTTTACAGCAGTCCTCGTTCTATCTAAAACTGGCAAACTTGGATGCGCGTTTTGAAATGGTCTGTACAAATAGCGTCTTTCGAGGCCACTCCGGAAGTCATCGGGTTCTCGATCTCGGGAGCTGAATGAGCAACGAAGATGCTCAGGAAGTCGTCTTGTCAGCTTGTTTCTAATGATGACTCGTTTTTAGCAACTGCGGGTAGCGCGAGTACCGGGACACACATAGCTGCTACTTCAACTGAATGTACACACCAAAGTAACGAAGAGCCCGATTACAAGCCTTATAAACAAACCCGGCTTTTGAGAGCGCTTAGCCACCCTTTTAGGCAGCTCTGTTATCGCCTGTTACATACTGACTTGTTAAATACACGTGAAAGCCTCGAGTTTATATCAAGTGAAAAAGAAAATAGACACGACTCCCATTGAGACAGACACCCACACATATTTTCAGTAGATTTAATCGTATTTTAAAGATGGTCCCGCACTAATGACGAAATGAAAAAGCCAGCTGCTTTACAAATTTACAATGATTGTTTCCAAAATTCTCCTTGCCGTGATCACACATATTCACTAATCCACCTCGGGAGAATTTAAATGAAATCAAGAAATTTCCCTGAGATACTTAACTACTTCATTCTCATCACCTGACAGCTAAAAATACTTATAAGAAGGTAAAGAGAATTTTGGAATTAGTCAGAGACTGACTGGGAAGTAACACGCTCCAACAATCTACAGAGGTTCGTCTAACCAGAAACGACGCTCACAATAAATAAAAATTCGGTAATGCGTTCGAGACAAACAAACGAAAAAACGAGATAAGCCCCGAAGACTTAAGGTAGCCATCAAAATTCTTTTAACAGTTTTCCACAATTTTTTTACAATTCATCTTCGAATACTTTGATTTAACAATTTAAGTCACTTTTCCTGAGATGATCAGATCATTGACTTCCAGAACCTAGTATTTCAGTTAGTTATGAAGAGAAGTTACAATTCCAACTCGGCTTTTTATGTTCAGACTAACTAGTCTGCCCTAAACCGCCAATTTCTTTTCATCTGTTATTTTCTTGAACAGAATAAGTCTTTGAACAGACTAAAAGAAAAGTAAAGAGCCGAAGAAAGCTTACACCAAAACAATCCATTGACTGACACTCTTATTTCTAGGCTCTTTTTTTCTTCTTTTCCCCGTATGCTGAGGACGGGGACAAGAGAAAACAACCTGGGAACGAGGTAGATCAACGAAGATGCTCGGAAACTCAGAGATGACCAGAAAAATTGTCAGTGTAACTCAACCGGGGCAAACAAATGGCGAGGATCAAGAAAGAAGGTAACGCTGATTTAGCGCCTGTGATGACAATGGCGCGTACTCAACACTATTATCTGTAACCATACTGCATTTCATCATAGCTCGATCTCATTCTCGACACAGGCCGCCCATACATATCTGTATCAGGTTCTACTAGTTCAGCCCCGTAGGCCTCTGCATAACCCGGTGACACAGGCCGACCATACCGGCTACTGGGCCGAGCGACCTGACCTTGCGGGGGACCATAAGACCCCTGGTCAGGATCGTCATCTATTAAATGTCCCCACGTGCCCATGGCTGCTTCCTCTGCTGTTAAATATCCCATGCCGTCATTAGGGTATCCCTGATATTGCGCCATGGCATAGGGACTGACTGGATGTCCCCCGGGATTCAAGTATGCCTCGCCATTATACATCCCGTACTCGCCCGGATCCTCCATCATGTAATCCGGGGTCATGGCGCCTTCACGCGACATGAGCGTGACAGGGTCGTCGTATCCCGGATGACCGTAGAAGAGCTCGGGTCTGTCAAACGGATCACCATCCATGAAAGCGTCTTCACCGTACATCAAGCCTTCACTGTCATCTATCGGCACTCTGTTTTCTATCATCTCTAGCCACTGAGAGTTGTGCCAGCGAAACTTCTCCCCTTGGATCTTCTTCGCCCATTCTTCATCATACTCCTGGAATAAGAAAGAGGACTTGGATTTACCCTATGAAAGTCTATCATTTGCAAGTGTTGGGAACTCCTTCGAGTTGAAAAAATAGTATTTGGGACAAACGTAAAGTTAGTAACTTCATACGTGTATGTGGTAAAGGTCCTTTTAGGCATGCGCAAGGCAGAAAAACTTGGAGACATCTTGCTATCTATAACCCTGCGAGCAGAGTCTCCAATCTTCCTAAAAAATTCTTCGTGACTGATTTTTCTGGGAAGATCGGAGACTCTGCTCGCATGTATGAACTAAAATGCTAAAATGCTAATTCTAAACAGTAAACAACTATAAACATTACCATGATGATATCCAGCGTCTGATCACAAACTTTGCGTATTTCTGTGTTCTTGTCATGCATCAGATCAATAAGATAAGCTGGAGCCTCTGACAAACAACGTTAAGGCTAAATTCTTAAGACTGTGCAACACGTAACTTCTCCTTACAGTGTGAATGTATCGGAAAGAAAACAGGTTATGAGAATTGAGACATTCATTAGTTAGGGGACAGTCACAACATCACCAAAGAAGGGCACGTCTATCAGTAAGAAGAGATGGAACTCACCATTAAAATGCGAGCGACTTTGCTTCTTCCATTGTCAGTGAACTAGTTTAAATTGCCTTTACAATTGCGGAGTTAGTTACCTTGTGAGATAAATTTGCGGTTTTTAACATGCAACTCTTCAGAGAGAAGGAGTGAATTCTAACAAAATGACTCGGAGTGCAGTATTCTTCGTTTTCACTTTAAAATCTCAACGTTTTTTCAAATTTTAACAGAGTGCAAGCTATCCATTTCTTCATATCACACAGTATATATAAAATTGTTCACAGGCATTTGTTAGTGTAAAGGATACGTGTTTGTTTGATAATGACCTCCCTGGTCGCTTTGTGAAATATCATTTGGTAGAAAACATAAACTATTTGTAACACAACCTCGTCATCCTCTTGTTTTGCTGTGAAGATAAAAGGTACGTTATCTACGACATCAGTAAATCAAATCTACTGCAAATAACAGCTGAAAAAGTTTCAAAAGCGAGAATGATGTTCGCAATGTTGGGCACAAAGTGCACGAGTCTCTCATGTTGTAGCATATGTTGGTAAGTCCCATCACATTTACCTTGAATATACGACTTATACGGCTCTAAACCTGCTTACCAAAACTTTCACCCGAACCAGTAAGAATGCGAATGTTATCTCTTCGACCAATCAGTTGAAAAACCGTGAAAAGTAATAGTGACTTTTCCCGTCTTGATACAAAATCTTCCGGGACTCCTCTCGCCCCTTTCTTCTGTTTACTTGCTGCCTGTTAGAGAGTTTCCAACGGAATGTCGTAAAATGAAGACCAAAGTAATCACCCTGGCCAATCACAAAGGATGCATACAATCCATCAGCCAATCAAAACTGGAAGCAAAGGTATGTAGCTGACGCGAAGAGGGGGGAGAAGCGTGCGAGCAAGTGACGATTGGTTTTGGTTTTATTTATGATTGGATGGCAAAGTGGAGCGAGGTTTTTAAGCCAATTGCTTAGCATAGCAATGTAAAACCAAAGGAAATGCGAATTGCTTTTAACATGCAAGTGAAAACTGCTCTACAGAATTAAGTAAGTCATTGTGTATTATTTCTCTCTTTCTAACGCTTAAAGGAATGAAAATGTACACTTGGTGCAAGCTACAGAGTAGCATCAACCCGAATACGTATACCTGATGGTGATTCTTACCATTCAACAGGTCTATAAGCATTTGTATGATTCCTTCTCTGGCAAACACAGTAGCACACTCATCATCTAACGACACCGTACCAATTAAGATCACAACTTCAAGAACAAGGTCATCCTCTGCCACTCCTACAAACAAAACATTTCACAAAACAAACTATTGACAAACAGTTATCAAGTTTTAGAGCCTAAGCGTGGAAACTGACCCAGTCACATTTAAATTACACTTTTGAAGCTCAGTTAAATGAACAGCTTACCCAAGCCAACAAGAAAGACTCGAGAGAGAGACTGTTTTTTTTTTAGTCAACAGTTGTAGAGATGCGTAACTAAAAAAATCAGACCTTTATTACCCAAGCCAAAATAATGATTGAACACTCCACAAACTCTGTGTTAACAAGCGTGTAACCTGTCTTCAACAATATAAGGTTACTGTATTGGCCAGTTTTTGTTTGTGTTTCTCTGACTGACGTAATGGTAAAGCACCCAAACTTATTTTAAGTTTATGAACAACAAATAGCTACTTCTCACCTGGCTGTAACTTAGTTTTAATGTAATTTAACATGTCATAATCTGTTAACAGCTGCTGGAAGTTAACATCTTCTACTGTAAGGTTTCCTAATATTCCAAGTGCTTCTAGTACAAACTCTTCATCTGGTCCGGTCTGCACGGCTTTAGCAAGGTCACCAATGTGTTCCTGTGTAGTTACAGTGGTATAAATTATATGTATATTACAACCACACACCTTATACAAGGAACATCTTGCCAGAGCAAATGAAAATTTACCAAATCATTAGCCTGTGAACGCAGGCGTATTTCTGGCTGTCACTAGTCTCCGCCAGAAATATGAGGCTACCAAATGATACACTGGCCAGGGTTTGTATACATCAATTTTGCATGTGGCCTAAACAAGACCCTGCCAGCAGGCCATTTTATATCCACTTACATTCAAAACTTCTGAGAAGTGTGGACTGCTTCAAGTTACTGGAGGCTTTGTTTAATTCGGTCCTCAAACAAGCCATCGAAGGCCTGATTATCCTCCTTAAAACAGCAGAATTAGGCCATTCTAGCAACCTTCTTTATCTTAAATAGCATAAGCAACCCCGGCTTGAAATTCACTCATAACACCTCTCCCGCTCTTGTCATTCAGGCTAAAAAAATACATGCTCTGTTTTCAGCAAACATTTTGGGAAAAATGACCGCAATCTGAGACAGATTAGAGGAAAAATCCCACTGCATCCAACCTCCTGATTGGTCAAACCTTCCATATTGGCATGAGTATATATTACTCACCACAAACTGAGCCTTGGTAGGTCCATCATGCTGTGAGATATTCCTGATCATCTTCAGTAATAAAGGATCATTAAACTTGAATGCTCTTCTCATCAGAAGCCTCAAGCCAGGCCCTTCACAAATCAGCTGAGCATTTCTTTTGTTAGCTGCCAGGTTTATGCCTAATGCAATCAGCTCCAAGTCAATACGATCTCCTGGACACTCCAGCATCATCCTCATCATCTAAAAACATGCCATAAACATAAGATGTTAACACCTGTTTTACAACCTTTTGCATGAAGTGTTACTTCAAGTTTCTATCAAAACTTCGGAAGTGGCTTGAACCAAGGAGGGATCAATTGTCGTCTTGGGATCAATAACTTTAGAAATAGTTTATGTTCAAACCAATTCCAATAGCAAACTGTGTCAACATTGACCAACAACTGTTTCTGGTTAGTTAAGAAGGATCAGATATAATAGATCATTTTCATAAATGACTGCTATTTAGAAATTCTTTTTTAAGTATTAAAATTAGCCTCACTAACCTCATTTTTAAGGTGATAATTCGAAAGAATTTTTACTCTCAAACGAGATTATTGAGGCTAAATTACATGCGCAGTTGCACACTTGTAAATTGGCAGCCATATATGAAAAGGGTCTATGGACTGAGCAAGGTCCTTCACCGTTGACACAGAAATCACATTTCAAAATTCCTTGACTTCTCCCTGATTTTCCCCTGATAAAAATCAAATTGCCCTGATCAAAGAAATACAAAATGTAAGATCTAGTAGCGGATTGTGGCCTCCCTTTAAAGCTGTCCTTTCCAGCCATGCATTAAGACTGTTAAGTTTTCAACAAAATTTCCCTCTTTATTAAGGAAAAACATCATTAAGTTCACAGTGACTCCAAATGCTTCTCCCAGTCATCAATGGTATAGGCGAATCTTTGTTTACACTTTTTGCCTCATTAACATTTTGCTTATCACTATCTGATGACGCTAATGAAAGAAAAGCTCTGAATATTGAAAGGGCATAACAGTTTCAGTTATCTCTGAAAATTTGAGCCCAATACACAGAGAATAGTTTCGGAGAAATTCTCTTCTAAAAAATCGAAATTTTACAGAGAAATGTATGGCTCATTAACTTTTTCGCCACACAGCAATTTTGCAGTTTTTGATGGCTGATATTTCCTTCAATTTTGCTTGCAAAGGGGTGCAAATTGCACAATTTACTCAAATTAATCAGCTTTTTCAACTTTTGCATTTAGTTCATATAGGGCCACAGCTTCCATGGGTCGAGTTGTATGCTAATGAGGAAAAATGTAAACAATGACGTCAGCAAAGATTCGCCTATTAAATCAGCTGTGTTAAATTATTTCAATTTTCTCTGACCCTTCTTCAAAGTGTCAATGTTGACTTTTCCCCGACCTTGAAGAATTTTTTTCCCTGCAACCCTGTCCTTAAAGCAGAAATGTACTGCCATTAATAAATGATACTAAGTGTGACTGACTGAAATTTTACATAAATACAAACCATGTTTAAGACATTTCTCATGGTAAAAACTTACAATAGGAATACAATCTGTGAAGGTAAACATGGACTTGAATCTGTCATCCATGCTGATGTGGTACAGGATACAAAGTACCACAACACTGTGAATTTCATTGGCTAAATGATAAAATACAAAACACACATATTAGTGTACAACTTTCTCATTTACTAAGGGATGTTACTGCAATGATGATGATGTAGATAACTTACAAACAAGCAGCACAAGTTTTGGTAGTAGTCCAGCTTTAACAGCTTTAGCTCGCAAATCCGTGTCAAAGGAGAGGTTAAGGAGCAGGCGAAGAGCAATGTTCAGTAGATCCTGAAATAGATCAGGGAACAACTTGTGTATTTATAAGGGCCCTCAGTATGTAAAAAATATAAATAATAACAGACACATTCAAACAGTGTGTTGGTACTTCTAGTCAAGTGTAAGAAACAAAATGTGCTAGTAAGAGCTACATGTACACATGTAGAAAAAAGTCACACAGCTAGTCTAAACAAAACATTGATTGTACATGTAGGCGCTATGCATCAATCTATTAGCCATTAAAAATCAGATACTGGGATAGTAGAGTAAAAGAGCTTAAAATAACAACAATGAAATCATTCTAACTTTGCTATGAATTAAATTCCGAAACTGATTGAGATATGTATACATACAGCTAAGAGACTTAAAATGATAAAAAAATTTTGTTTAGTGACCCATGCTCCATGTTTAAATGTGTACATGTACAAGAAGGTAACTAAAAAATCTTGAGTTTATAAAATCAATGTAAAATACCTCATTAGAGTGAGGAATTAAATTGGCCAGCTTCTCCAATATGCCACAGTCAGCCTAGAAGAGAATTTTATTGTAAGTTAGAGAAACATGTGCGAGTTAATAAAATTAAGGACTTCATTTTATATTTGAGTCTATACTGAATATACCAAATAAAAAACAAGTTGTTACAACCAACAAAAAGTTTTTTAAGATAATTTAGAGCTATAGTTGTCCTTGTTATGAAAACTGTAAAACAGAATATTACAGGGCTACTTACATGTATTGTTAACTGAATGGCTTGTTGATTAATCATTAATCAGACATATTTTTTAATGGGAATGGTTATGATTACTTGACCAAGTGGAACGGACCCTCACCATTTCAGTTTTGTTTTCCACAAAGATACTAAGCTTTTTCAGAAAGGAAACAACCAGAATCAGTAGATCTACATTTTCTCTTGGCAATAACTGCACCAACATGTAGACAATCCTCTTGTTTTTCATCTTCATCTCCACCTTGGCATCTTCAGCAAGGTTTAGCAGTAGGTATGACAAAACTAGAAGAATGAAAACAAAAATACATGTAAGTAAAAAACCTGGAGAGTAAATGCTGGATTCATAAATGGAATCAAACAAAGGTGAACATATAATGTCTGCCATTTTACTGTGACTCAAAGTATTGGTATAGACCATAACCCAAGGGAATGAGGAAAACTGCACCAGCTGTCAGTTTAATTACAAGAGAAAGAGAGTGGGAAGCATGTATGGTATGGACTGAAAATACTCTCTGTTATTTTTGCTATCAAGATATTTACTTTACATATCACTATGCTCTGAATTTTATTTGCTATAAGTTAGTGTATAATCTTCAGTTGCCAGGAGAAAACAGTGATGTAGGAGACTGATTTCATAAGCAAAGTAGACAAGACATTCTGCATTCTTGCTTACATGCATTCTACAAACCAGTAAGGATTTCAAGATATTATGGCATTTGCAACTGATCTGTTGATACAAATACGCTGTTCTCTGGTTTGGTATGTTATGTATTATGCTAGGTTTACCTCTTAGCAGTTGCTCTTGTTTTTTCACAAGACCAAGAAATTTCTTGTAGCCCTTTTCATAGTCCTTTCTATTATTACATACGCATGTTAAGGCAAATTATGGTGGTAACAGACTGAATGAGAAAAAAAAAAATTTTTCAGCCATTCAGCCTATTGGTTGGTCAGCATCTGACTAGAAGGAATTGTGATATATCACTAACAGTTGGGATGCAAACTCTGCCTGTAGAACAGACAGTATGCTAGGTGGTTAAACACACAAATCCGTAAAGACTGATGCATTATGATCATGGGAAGTATGACTTAACCAGCCAGCAGGTATGAGATAGTTAGAGTAGATTGAATTTAGTAAACTCTTCTATCTCTTACACTGCCTACAGAGTACCAGTTTGTCTGGGACAGGAAGGAATTGTTACTTATAATTCTCAGTAACTACTGTTGAAATCAATGAACCTAAATGTTTCTCACACTCCAACAGGAATTTAAAGATCTACCAGTAATTCAAAATAACCTAGCTATTTCTTTAAACTGGCAACCAAAAGGCCTGCAATAAAGAAGAAATTTAAAACTGGTAAGATTCTGATCACTGAAAGGATATTGTTTTTCTTCTTCTCTAACTCAGCAGACCATTGCTCATATCTTTTAATCTCATTTTCCATGACTTGCACACACATTGCACCAATCTTGTAATGGATAATGATAGAATGAAACTGTGAGAAACTGGAGAAACAGAAGAATATGTATACAATGTTGGTGGTTAACTCTGTGCTCTTCTTCCAGTCCTCTCGCAACACTCTAGCCATGGCACCCAAAACAGGTTCTGCAAACGAGGGGAGAAGAATTGAAAAAAAAATTACTTCTGAACCAGTTCAAACTGCAGCATTTGCAATTATATTTTTGCCTGATCAGAGGCAATGATGTAGCCAATTCACACAAGTGCTGTAAGTGATAACTGTATAGCACTGACAAGGCCAGAAAACAGAAGAAGATTTGAAAGAGGTATCTACATGTACATATACATTAAGCAAAACTGACACACTTTTAAAGAAAAGTAAATAATTTTTTTGCCAGTAATTTCTGGCTCATATTTGCTTTAATGCTAACAAAAGACACTGTACAACAAGCACAGAGATCTACATGAATGTAGCAAGCAGTTCTGCTACAACTTAAACTTAATTTTATCACTTGTTTGTATCAATTGATATTAAACTATAAATTACCATTTACTGCAAGCTCCTCCAAGTTGTCAGGATTTCTCGACAGCTGTAGGATGAGAGCTGTTCCTCTAATCTTATCAGGAAGTTCCTCATAGAGTAACTCTACATATTCCTCTATGTCGTTAATGTTGGCTTGTTCATCAAGCTAGAGTGAAGGTAATGAAAATAATTAAACAACTGATCTTAAGTCCAATGCACTAACCATGAGACCCTGTCACCTCAGCCCCCTTCATCAATCTTTTCATTGTAATTCAATCCCCTCATATGTCAAAAAATTAACTCCCTAGATAACAATGCTGATTACCAGTTTCCTATTTTCTCATGGAGTGCATATTATTTGGCTTTAGTTGCATATTCTGTTTACTGACCTTTAGTGGATCATTGTCACCCATTCCCATCTCCTTTATTTGGTAAGTGTCAATTCAGAGAATTTTTTTTTTTTTTGACAGAGGTTGCTACTCACAAGGTTATCATGGATAGCTATAAGGCATTAATCCCCAGCTTGTATATTTTTGATCAGGTTAACCTGGAAATTACGCTTGTGATACCAGTCAGAAGCTATTCAGCACAAATATTCTAGAAAATATTAGAGATCATTAAAATTTTACTTTTACTTTGATTTAGAAGCTTCATGAACAAACTGATAAACATGTACCTCAGTGCCTTCAAAGTCAGCAGCTGCATTTTTCAAGCTGTCACCTTTCTCTTTACCTACAGAGAATAAGTAAGAGTACATGTATTTATAGATGTCAGAAGCCTAGTTAAACAAAAAGACATGAATCATGAAGTTACAATCCCAGAAAGGCACATATCCAGTATAAATTCTTTAACACAAGTCAATCACCTGACATATTCAGAATTATCTCTCAATAAAAGCTAAGAATAAGTGAATCACCTTTGGTCTTGCCTGCATCCTTCCTGTTCTGCAGGTAGTATAACAACTGCTCAACTTCAGGAAGTTTTGAGGGATGAATGAGCTTGCATTTTTCAATGACTTCTGTAGCTAACTTTGCTATATTGGTTGTGGAATTCAGACTCTGCAGACGAATTCTGTCAACAAAGTAATTAATTTAAAATTAATTAACTTTAAAAGTTATTCAGCCAATAACTGTAAGACTTCTAATGATGAGTATACCTATGGCTAAGTTATTCTTTTGTTGATATAGACTTAGGCATAAACCAATCAAGTTATATAAGAAACCAAAATGGAATGAATTCATTATTCTAGGAGCAAGGATACCGTGATGCCTACATCACTTACCTCATGTATATTAAGTTCATTACGAGTGCTTTTAATTTCAAATTTCATGATGCTGGGGGATCTTATTCAAGGAGAACTCCTTGATCACAGGGTGCTTCATTAAGGGCCGTGCACTGGGCAATTTGACTGGCTGTGAGGATGATTTTGCCGGCCTGGTTTGACCATGTAGAGGAAAGTATTTCTTATAAATAAGCTCACTTCAAAGAGTTTTGCCCACCTGTGAAACTCAGTTGCCCTCCTACTGAAAATGTTAATGAAACCAATGATCAAGTGAAGGTGCTTTTCCACATGGTAATGGAGTACAAGAGAATTACTGTGCAGGGGCTTCATTATGGGCTGGGCACAGAGCAAATTGATCGGGCATGAAAATGATTTTGCCTTCCTAGTTTGAGTACCTATAGCTAGGGAAAGGTTTTTCTTATAAAGACGTTCAGATCAAGCAGTTTTGGCTGCCTGTGAAAACCAATTGACTCCTTGCTGAAACGTTACTGAAACCCCTGGCTGTGGGAAACAGACAAATATATGAGATAAGTTGTTTCTTGATTGAGACACCTTTGTTTCCAACAAAGATGTTTTGAGTGCTTTTTTCATTGACCAGGTATAGAAGGCATGTTATTAGGAGGGAAAATGTCAAGTGACATCACTACAATGTAACATATCCTGATGTTTTACATAGGTAGTACACATTTTTCGATTATTGTTTTTAATCAAGCTTATTTGTACTATTAAAGGTTTTAAAAAATTGTTCTTCATGGAGTAACATCAGAATATAAAATAAAATTCACAAAAAATGCAACAAATTTGTGTCCAAGAGGTTTTTTGCTCATGATGCATTCATTGTAAACGTACACAATTCTGGTATGCGTAACTAGGAAACGAGTAACGCTACTACCACTGATGGCCGGCGGAAGAAAAATAATTTGCAGTTTTATGAAATTTTTCCATTTTTCTAGTGTTGAAGTGGTCAATATTTTACCACAGCTTCTTGCAGATACCGTTCTTTTCGATGCCTTCGATATACCAGCAAGGAGTAATAGCTTTTAAGCTTGAATTAATATCATTTTAACTTACATTTTCTGACACTCCTTCCGCTCGCCCAACATGGGCTCTCCCATCTCGCCAAGAATAACAGCTTCCAGCTCATAGTTAACAACAATCGCTTTTTCTGTGGGATGGGCATCGATATTTCCACCCTTCACCCTCCTAGACGAAGAAGAAACTTTGTCAGAAATGAACGGAAATAAGCTAAACATGACGAAGCAAAGATATATAGTACAATGAACCAGTCTGATCATCAAGCATCACTTCAATCTTCTGTAGCAATTCACTTATTTCACACAAAATTCCTTACCGTTTTAGATATCTTGCTTCGTCTTGCATTTTAAACTTATGCTCAGGCTAGGAAATGTTCTCCCAGACTTTAAAATAAAGGCTCCTTAACGCTTCGGAGGGCTTGTACATGTAGGTCACCATTTCTTCAGCTGCCATTTTCATAACACTCCACGCGTTGAATGCTGGGAAGTCGAGTAGTTCTTTGAATGGAAAATCATTGGAACGGACTCCTGTATCAGTTCAAGATTACCCACAGTTTTGCTGCATTGTTTGACCTTTTTCGCCCTAGCGCGACCATTTTTCTTCCTGTGCTTTCTTTTGCGTGATTTTTGGCGTACTTAGAAAAAAGAGGGGCAGCTTGAAGTCTACTCAAAAGTGCGCGTTCGTTCAGTGTCAGCAGGGCGCTTATACGTTAGTCAACGCGCGCGTGTTGCTATGTCAACGTTATGACGTGACAATGGATTCAACTGGCACTTAGGAAAAAGTTGAAAACTCGAGGAGCGCAGGGAATAGAAGTTGCTGTTTTAAAGTTTGAGTCAAAAACTAACTTCACAGCTTTGAACAGTTTCTTTTTTGCAACAAATGGAGATTAGGAATGCGATCGTCATGTGCGGAGAACGAAGATCCGCGAACTTGTTGGTAAGTATCTAAAAATGTTTGTAAAAATTTTAAATCATTAGCAGAAGCATAGTCATCTACAGAAGACATAAAGCCATAGTAAGCGTGGTGGAAAGATTCAGCACAACGTGAAGAATAGATTGAAAAGCGAAATAGGTAAAGGAAAGATGAAAAATGTGCAGAAACGACCAAAACAAGAGTTGAATGATGCTGCAGTAAAGTTGAGAAAATAATTAAAAGAAAAGGATTGAAAACAGCAGCCGCTCGGTGCGCGCTCGCACGAGATTCGGAAAGAGGTGCTGTTTTTAATTTTTTTTAAAATAGACAAATACCAGGTTGATTGCAGTTTATAGGTGAAATTTCTTACATCACATAATATCCGCTAAAAAAAGTTTTTCAAGTTTGGACGGGACGTCCAACTGCAAGCCCTCTCATACGCGGGCTAATACACAAAAACAACAACAATGTTCAACAACAACAACACCACCAATGAAGGCAACGAAAATAGTAAGTATGGATCCCTCAGAGTGAAAAGAGCGACTCTTTCTCGCAGTTATTATCGACTAATATCAAACAAATAGTAAACAATGACGATAACTTTCTGTCGTCTATTGAATTTATTGGACTGCAGTTCAACAACTTTTCTCGGATTTCACAAATAAATACGCCTATTTCTTCCACATTTTCCATCCCGGTCAGTTATAAGTTGATCCATAGACTACAAAATATTTTCAACTGTAGGGATAATATGATATAAAAAGACAATTTCGCTATTTCTTCTTCCACTTTTTCAATTTATAAATTAATCTACAAATAAAAGAAAGTAAGTTTGGACAACTTTAGCAAGATATATCAAGCCATTCTTGCCATGCACTATGGTTTACGACAGCCGTTTATCATTCAAACAGAATGTCATATTCAACTGTACAATTGAATCTGCAAGTGAATCCAATTCACTCCCAAGATCGGCCTTAAAATTCTCATAACTGCTATTAGGAATTCTTTTTTCAGGTTAAGAGAATTTAGGAACCTATCATTGTTTATTAAAACCGCTATTTGATTGACGATAAAACTTAGTGAATGCTTCTTATTCCGACGATTGTCATGGTGATTCGATCCTCCACACCAAGATCAGTGGCAACGTCATGGAATCTGAAGAAGAAATGAAATGAAGTCAGTATTATGAGTCAAGGAAGTATTTAGTAATGACTAAAACAAGGCTCGATAGAAGATCGCGATCTTTTTGACACTGTTATCTTAACTGAAAGGCAAATCAGTCCCTTCTTCTAGCCTACACGTCAGTAGCATTTCAGCCATATATAGACAGACAGACAGACAGACAGACAGACAGACAGACAGACAGACAGACAAATAGACAGGTGGACAGAAAGACAGAAAGACAGGTAGGCAGGCAGGCAGGCAGGCAGGCAGGCAGGCAGGCAGACCAATTGAAAAACAGACTCTCTGCTCGTTGGGCCAGCCGGTTAAACAGTCAGCTAACCCACTAGCTGACATATTAACTTACTTATCAGCCGATGCTTTGAGTAGCTCATTGATGTGCGTCAACGTCTGACTTGGTGTCACTTCAAGTGCTTCCAATACGTTGCAGAAGTAATCTGGCAAAACAGTAACAACGTAACAATCTCATTAGATATCAGCATGATCTAAAATGCATCATTCGCTTTAAGCCATTTTCCTCTCCTCTTCAGCACGGATGTCGCAGAGCTCAAACCCCACGAAAGTAGGTAGCAACTATTTTCCCGATCTTTTAGAGCTGGATAGCAGACGTCACAGGTTACTTGCCCACAGGTTTCCTGCGCTTTTGGAACGGGATGGGAAAACTTCGGCCAATGGCTTTTTACTAATTTGCTATTATTTATCCACTCTTTTGAAGGTCGATTTTCAACTTCCTGCACCTCGCCGTGTGGCGAATAGCCGTGGAGTGAATTACTGGTAGTTTTCTCTAGATTTTTGAGCCGCCAGATATCAACTCACCTATATCAGCCAATAGCTGTTGAGTGGAGTAGGGAGTCAGCTCATGGATCCGTAGGATACTCTCTGTGTAAGCGTGCATGGTTCCACGGGCGATAGACCCAATCCAGTAAGTCCCAGGGTGGTGCTCATCTTCATCTGCAGACCCCAAAAACAAATAACTACTGCTATCAAAATACTTACTTACTTTGGCCCGTTACTCCTCCCGGAGCATAAGCCACCAACGATATTTCTCCATTCTACTCTGTCCTGTACTATCCAAGGTCATCAAAATACTTCTTTTTAATCCCCTCTATCTCTCACAGGCAAGTTGCGTTCATAGTCAAGAGTTCAAATGCCCACAAATCTTTCTAGTTACGAGGAAGCGATTATTTCAGCAATGTTATTTTCGGGTTCTTACACTCCAGTTTCTCATTAAAAAATGGCTTGTCCTGTTACGCGAATTAACGTTCAAGATAAGAAGATTTAAATAATGCTTCCTCTTTTCTATACAATTTTCAAACAGTTTACAGTGAACCTGTTAATTTTTTATCAACCCTAGATTATCCTTTTCAACAACAAATTTACCACGTCATTCACTGGGGGAAAATACAAGTTACTGGTAGTCAGTTTGTACAAAATTCCAAACTTTCTTACAGCCATACCTTGCAGATCCGGGAAGGGCAGGTTCCCTGCTTTCATGGCAGCCTCTAGTGCAGGATTCTCTTGCGTTATGAACGGCTCGAGTTGTTGAGGGAGAGTCAGAAGGTAATCACCAATCTAATGATAACAAAGAAATCGAGAGGATTGCTTTACCAAACTAATCATATTGTCAATTGCTGTAACAGTGGCAAGCGTAGGGGGCAGACTAGCGTAAGCTAGTTCACGATTAGTTTGGTTTCCATATGATAGCCATTGATACGTGAAGACTGCTCGGACTGTACGTTAAAAGCGTTTATTAAGACTATTATCAATCTCCATGCAGCAAACTTACCACCTTATGCAACTAGAGGCGCGATGAGACAAGATGATGCAGCAAAGACAAATAACATAGAAACCAGAATCACTGGAAAGCCGCCTATTCTAACGAGCGGTGTTACCTAATCAACCTTGTGTCCTCAGTCTAAATTATTTCACGGATTTCTCTTATTTCTTGGCTTTAAGCTACAAAGAGATGTTGCATCCAAACTCGCACGTGTACACTGTTATTGGCTTTACACCTTACCCACATAAGAACACCGCTACACCATGAATCATAGCCAATGATCTAATGTGGAGCACGGATATAGACATACTCACGTGGGTAATGTAGCCTAAAGGAGACAAACTGAAGGTGGGCAGTTCATCACTTAATGCCGCTCCTGACTCAGGTGACTTAGCAGACCAAACCTGGAAAACATACCACAGACTTTTAAAACTAAGAAGGACAAAGAGATCTTAAAACGTTCTTAACTGGCAAACAAGTACAGTTGAGCGCTATAAACAAGTGAACATGTACCCTAAAATCAAAACCATCATAATAAATCATCATCATCATCATAATAATAATAAGAATAATATTAATAGTAATAGTAATAGTAATAACAATAATAATAATAACTGCTTATTCACAATTTCAACGAAAAAGTTAAAAAGAGATAAAAGAGGTTATCCCTTTCTAGTTTATCTCCTTTTAATAATATTAAGAACATAATTAATATATTAATATAATTGACTACGACTTAATTAAAAAGAATTAACTAAGAACATAAATGATAAATTAAAAACATCACATAATATTTCTCTCGCTTACCAAGCAACAGAGAAGTGATAAAACGTCAAAAAAATTAAAACGCTTTAAATGCAACGAAATTGGAAAAAAACTGCTGCTAACAAAATACTGAGCATAAAAAAAACCCAGTGACACTTTAACCAGATATTACCTGCAGTTTAGGAGTCTGAGCTAGCTGTTGCCTTATTTGGATGAACACAATGTCAAAAGCAAAAGTGTGTACTCGCTCGTTAAGGGCCTGAAGCTGCTCAGAAACACTGGAGAGGACTACAGCAGATTCACCAGCTAAACAACAATACACAATGGTAAGTATAACCAAAAAAACGAATAAGTGACAACTAGAATATTCCTTGGTATACCACAAAAAAAAGTTGAAAAACTAGTATAAATATTTTCACCAAGAATGCAAAAGTATTCATGTGACACATTGATGGGAATATAATACAATAATAACGCTTAATGAATATCATAGTGATGGCGCAATCCGAAGAAGGAGTATGGAGCACAATATACAACACAGGAACAAAGAGCATAATACATAACACAAAAGCAGGAAGCAATGTATAACAATACTAACAGAGAATAATATAAAACACAGGGGCAGGGAGCAGAATATATAACACAGGACCAGGAAGCGATATATGTAAGATTACACAGGAGCAGGGAGCAGAGTATATAACACAGAAACAAGGAGAAGAATATATAAAACAGGAGCAGGAAGCAGAATGAATAACACAGGAGCAGGGAGCAGAATATATAACACAGGAGCAGGAATCAGAATATATAACACAGAAGCAGGGAGCAGAATATATAACACAGGAGCAAGAAGCAGAATATAAAACACAGGAGCAGGAAGGAGAATACATAACACAGGAGCAGGGAGCAGAATATAAAACGCAGTAGCAGGAAGGAGAATACATAACACAGGAGCAGGGAGCAGAATATAAAACACAGTAGCAGGAAGGAGAATACATAACACAAGAGCAGGGAGCAGAATATA